TTCAGGCTTCTCTGGCTTTTCAGGCTTCTCTGGCTTTTCAGGCTTCTCTGGCTTTTCAGGTTTCTCTGGCTTTTCAGGTTTCTCTGGCTTTTCAGGCTTTCCAGGTTTCTCTGGCTTCTCTGGCTTTCCAGGTTTCTCTGGCTTCTCTGGCTTTCCAGGTTTCTCTGGCTTCTCTGGCTTCTCTGGCTTCTCTGGCTTCTCTGGCTTCTCTGGCTTCTCAGGTTCTGGGGTTGTTGGTACTGTGATGCTAAAGGGAATACGCTCACCCTCGACATTCACAGCCAAGCGACCATTGAGCAACTGCAGAACCATGCTGGGGTCGACATCCCCCAGATACCCAACCTGTGGGTAAGCGTTGGAAAGCGATCCCTCTGTTGCGCCGTAGACGTTCTGAAGGTTCCATGTCTCGGAAGCGTGAGACAGAGTGACGCCGGCTGCAAGCAGCGCAGCAATGCGACCGAGTACCGCCATTGTGTATGGACTAATGTTACCTCTTTTTGCCTTAATGGCATGAAGTGTGAGACACACGTGCAAGCGCTGCTGGTTTCCAACGACAGCCTAATGCCACTCAAGTGGAGGAGAAATTCAGCAATGCTATTTCGGGCGTCGAATATTGGCGGCGGTGGAGCGATAGCGCACCTTACCTATCTATCGCTTCGAACTCCCCGCCCTTCCTGGTTGCCTTTGATATGCGCCTGGGTGCTTGAAAGGCAATCATGATGCGAAAAATACCTCCCAATTGTCATTGATGTATGCAGAAGTGTGTGCTGGAACAGAGTCTATCCAAGCCTGGACTGCGGTGACCTTTACTTCGGAACGCTCACACCCATGTTGCTGGGAATATTTCAGCATAATGGGGGCCGTTTAGCAGCGAACCACTCAGAAAACAGGGAAAGGATTATGAGAATGCATTGTATTGCGTGAAGAGAGCTTAACTAGAGTGACCTCTATTGGACCGGGCGGCTGCGACTTCCCCAGCGAGCCATCCTGGGGCAGTCTGGGCTGCCTGCTGACTCTGCCTCCTTGCTCCAAGCAACTTCCTGGCAAATTAATTTCAGTAATTTTAGCCTAAATGCATTGGAAACTGACGGGGTAGACTAATTACGACCACACCTGCGCATCCTGCTGTTGCCCAACGGAACTTCACCCAAACCAGCTCCTTCTGGTACGGGTTGGTAACTGCTGCCCGTCCAACGTATGTACTTCACGTGTTTTCAACGCTCTTTAACATACGTAAGTCAGGAAGAGTGGAGGTTGTGTTGGATTAGCTGCTTGCTGAGAAGTCTCAGCCGTCCGGACGCGAATCAGCATTCAGGTTTCGAGGTTCCTTAGGAGTGCTTTACAGTGGGCATTGGGAGCAATGCGCGATACGTGAGCCGTTCCCAGTTGCTGCATTTGTAGATGAATACATTGTTATGAAATCGGAGCAAAACAGAGCATCATATATTACTGTTGATCATTACGCCCATCAGCCCCGTTTTGCATTGGGCACGCATTATCTTCTGAAGCTAATATGCTGCTTCTCACATTTCCAGGGACAATGCTGTTCGTTATTGTTGTCGTGCTGGCCTCGTTCAATGAAGTTCCCCCCAAAGCAACCAATCTAGAAGCTGAGCAGTTGAGTGAAGGATATGGTTATGTGCTTTTTCTATTTCATCAAGTAATATAATTGAATATGGTTGCGCATATTGATTGCCCAGGGCATGCAGATTGCACCACCCCAGAAGGGAAGGTCATTTCGTTACGGGATTATCAGTGAAGATTTTGTTGCTATGAGACTCCCCGCAGTAGGGTTAGTGGTAATTTCACCCCAAACGATCGAATTTTCAACCAATGAGGCACGACAGTATTACAAAAAGAAACTTTGGAACACCAAACTTAGCCAGGAAGCTTACTAGTACGCATGTGGCAAGCGTTCATTTCAGAGAGCTAATTTACCTGCAGCGTTAATTGGCGTTTGGGACGTAACACGAGTAGCGGGTAGAGAAATCACGTATAGTATATCTCAAATGCTCAAAGAATCCAGCCGTAATCAAAGAATAACTAAGCATCACCCTCCACCATCCTACATACTGAGAAAATAGTGTATTAGTTAGGTTTTGGGAATTTGTCGAACGGCCCCTCTCCCGTAGCTGCCCCTTCTCAGGCGGACGTGAGGCTGAAGATATTTGTATCCAGTTTTTTTGATAGGAGAAAATGAAAGGAGGACGTACCTCATTGATCTTTCCCTACACTGCAAAGCCGCCCCTTAAAAGATGGTAAAGAGACCCTCCAAGCTGCTCGTATAATACATGTAAATCTTTCTGCATAGCAACACTCTTCTCCTTCAGCAGAAAAAGTGTAGTACTTGAAATTAATGGTTTTTAGTCTTGTGGGTTGTGAATGAGACCTTTAATATACACTGCACTCTCCTCCAAGTCATACCTACTCAGCAGTGCAAAAAAGGCGTTTTTCACTCGCTGAACTACTTCATAGGCTTGCCTGTTGCAAAGAAACAGATGCAGTTTAAGCTGTGACCGTTTTGGCGCACGGCTTCTATTGATGCCTCGAACAATTTTGCAAGTTGCTCAACAAACGCATGGAGTATATCTCCACCTCTGTATGGTGCAGATTCAACGACTAAATCTTTCTTGGTGGCCTGTGAAAACGAACTGGGGCAAACATAACTCCGAGTCATCGTTATATGCATCGGTCACTGACTACTCCAAGGCTGCCAAGAGATTTCGTCGTGGTGTCGTTCTGCTGTCAAACCGTTGGAGCGGATGGACGAGACAAATATTTTGCTGTAGCATGTAAATAGCTTCAACACGTGTAAAAGGGGTTTATAGATGTCTAGTTCCCATCACGATCAAGCGCCGTTCCAGCCGGACGGCAATCCTACATGGAAATGTTCCACCCAGAAACTCTCTGCGGAGGTATACAGTGGCTGCTGCTGCATAATTCCCAGCTGATGTTGTGGAAGGCTACGATTATTTAAAGAGGTTGTGGTGCGATATTAAGCCGCAGTGAGAAGGCATTTGGACTAGAGGCCCGCCACGACGCCAACCGCAGCCCTAACGGGCCTCGTGATTTGCCGGTTGACCATTGGGGCAGCTGCCAAAGAGAGAGGTAGCACAATTAAAAGCACATTACTACTGCATAGTATTGTTAAATCTAGGGTAAAAGCTGCCAATGGGCCTTTTAACGGATATTCTAGTGGGTCGGTAGCTCACCGATACCTTACGCGGGACCAAAGCGGCCTTGTGCCCTACCTAGTTTCCATTTTGCTCTCCAGTGCACACTGGTCCTAAGTGTGAATGTGTAATTGCATATACCCTCGTGGAGAGAGCCTTCGAAAGTAATATTGACCACAGCAAGGCTGTGGCTGGCGATTGCCTGCCAACTACGCAGCTGCACGGTTCCTTGCCATCTTCGGTTGCCATCTATGTGCGGTCAGTCTGCTGAGCCCGGTTTTGTCCACCGAAGATGGCAAAACCAATAATTTCAAGTATCACAAATGTTTTTGTAGCTGCCAAGTTTTGTAGAGAAGTGGCCCGAGACCATAGAAACGTACATGTTCTTCACTTCTCGTCTTTTTGCTACCCATGTTGTCGTGTTCTAGGTGTACTGTCGTTGCCGCATTGCTAATAAAGGGGACTAGGCCATTACTCAAGTGCTGCCCTTCGAATTTCAGGACCATCAGAGCATCTGAAGGGGGTAGCTCACTCCGTGGTCATGGTGCGGAAGGGCGGCGCAGCCGCTGAATTCGTGTATGGGTTGGGTCTCAGCTCCCTACAGCCAGCGGATCAAGTGGATAACGACGAGGAAACGCCCTTACGTTTTGTTAGCGTGCAGCTACAGCTCGCGGATTCAAGCAAGAATCTGGACGTTGGTCAGTTTTCCGTGCTTCCGTGTTTTGGGGCCTGGTGGTAGGACAAAATGAACACGACTAAAAAGTTTGCACAAAATTGCAATGAACTCAGCAGACACACTGCATATGTGTATCCCTCTAGCCGTTTTTCGGTGCTGAATATGCGGCCCTTCGCGAGCGCTGTGTTTCAGACCTCCACGCATTCCTCTTTGAGGCCGACGGTACATACGTAGACTGTGTGTTTTATAAAAACCCGACCCTTGCCGGCAGAAGTGTCCGGCTTCTTCAGCAAGATCAGGAGCTCCTCGTAGACTTACGCTACATCCCTCAGAGGTGCAGTTTCATCGTCTGTACTTTGGCGATCTATTCCGGTGGCACCGTCGCTCAACTAGGGGACTGCTCCGTCCAGGTCAGCACGGTTAACTTCGCTGCTGGCTCATTACGAAAGTGAAAAGCCAGATGTCAGACTTCCGTGTCAGAACAGTAGTGAGGCCAGCTTTTGACGGGTTTCCGGAAGCGAAGTTTTGTCTTGGCGGTAGCTGACTATTCTCAGAAGCCTTTCACCTAACGGCCAAGCCGCATATACAGTTTCCTTCCCCATCATGTTTGCTGTTTTATGGGTCATGCTGCAGCTCAGCGCGCTAGTCCCTCGCTTAGGGTTAGGGGAAAATGCAGACTTCCCTCATCTTCCATGCGGCCAGATTCCCCCTGGCTCCTCCAAGTTCTATGAATGGGTGTGCCTTGGAATGCTCCCTTTGAGGCCGAGAAGCAGTCTTGGGGAGGAATGTGGTATAATGCTGTGCCTGCTCGCCCATCATGCCGGCTTTTGGTACTTCAAGCCTGTGTTGAAACCCGTCACAGCCTTCACACCTCAGGGGCTCATCGATCCAGCGCAGGTAGCTACAACTTCCCTGTCCAATTATGCAGTAATGTTGAAGTTGGACGCTTTTGCATTCCAAGCTTAGCATCGTATCTACCGAACCGCTTCAAGAAGTCGATAGCCTACACGTCGTATATCCCCAGTGCGCCTGTCTCTAACTTCAGGATTACGTGACGCGGCATCTTGCCGGCCAGAGTGAAGAAATCCCGGGTATAGAACTTAGCTCTCTAATTAACGCAGCTCGCGAAGGTAACCATATGCAGTTTGAATTGGCAGATGCAGAAGAATGTCTAACAGTGAGCCAACTGCTTGCCCTAGTTGGAAGGCTGATTCCATGATTAGCCCAGAAGTAGCCGGGCGTGGAAAAGGAAGTAGAAATCCAGGCTTCTGAATTAATCTTTTTTTCTTCCCTCTCATTGTGCATTTTGCCCCCCGTTTGCTGGTACGAGCAGGGAGAACCTGCAGGGTCCCATGCATCGGGAACTCCTGAGCCCGCGACCCTGAAGAAAATCGGAGTCAAAACTGGCGATTTGGTAGGAAGTGGGTTGCAAAGTGTGCAAGCCGATACCGATAGGTAAGGGCGTGTGCAATACTTGCGGCAGTGATTACTCCACATGCTTGTTTTTTTTTGGCGTGGGAGACGGGCGCAGTGCTTATTTGCGCACAATTGCCTTCCTCCTTGTATCCAGACCTGTCGTGCTTGTCGTTCTCTGCGGGCACTGTTTTTGTATAGTGGTACTGCTACTGGGAGATGCGCAAAAGGGGACAAGTTGGGGTTATTTACACGCGGCGAAGTCAAGCCAGTGTGGCATGGCGCTGAAGAGCAAACGGGTGAATTCATTTGCAAGGACACCAAACAGCATAAGCTGCCAACTGAAGATCAAGGAGATATGGCTGTGGGGAAGACAACTGGCAAGCAGAGATCTCAAGTTTTTCAGGCCAGTGCAGATTCTGCACGTGGCAGATTCCCAGCGCAGGTCCAAGCAGGAAGCAGACATCTGGGCCACAGGATAGCTGACCACAGACGTGATCACGGTGTTTCCCCGTTCAAAAGCAAGGATCGAGAGCCTTTATATGTGGGGCGGCACCCTGAGGACAGACGTGGGGGAGGAGACAAGGCAAAGCAGAAAGAAGCCTTAGGCACCTCACAAGATGAGGACTATTGTGGGGACGTTTCGGAAACGCCGATGGATCGAAGACTCAGCGACGGCGGTGCTATTCAGGAGGTAGGTTCAGGCAAACGCAAAGGTGCTGAAGGTGGGACCAATCGCTTTGATGGGAAGTCAAGATCTGCCGATATGCTGACCGGAAACCAGTGAGCAGTGGCAGATCTATACTAGTAACGGCTTTTCCGAAGGTGCAGATGGATGTAGGAGGAAATGCGCAACCGTCTAGAGAGCCAACAGCATTTCTAGTGCTCATTCCTGGTAGGCACTGAGCTTGCTGTGAATCGTTGAGACCGTCGTACCAGCCCAATGTCTGTGCTGAAACCCTTCAGTGGATCCGCCAATGGAGAGCCCTTGTTCATATCGTATTCTCCTGTCGAGGAGTACGGAGAGGAACCCTGCCATGGGATGCACGCATACGGGTGGCAAGATGTGGCAGGCAGGAATGACTTGTGGAGAGAATCTGTTGAACGGCGTCTACGTGCATTAGAACGTTCTGTCGAAAGCATCGGGAGCAACATCCAAACGGTTGCAGAAGCGACGTCCGAAATGCAAAAAAACAACAAGCTTTATATTCAGGAACTTCGCGAGAGGTTTAAAGAGCTAAAGGTAAACACAGCGTTTCTGCAGGATGAATGAACGGCAGCTGGCATTGATTGCAGATATTACTGGTCAACCTTTTGAGACTCCTTAGATCTAGTTATCAGTGGATTCCCAGTGGAGAATAACGGATGCCATTGTTGATAAAGCTTGTGTCCACGCTTTCTCAGTGCTAGTGCAGTATTATGTCACAGCTAGCAGTTTTAGTACAGCCCAGGTTGCGCTTTTCCTGCAGAGTGACGTCGCTTCAGATATTGAGTCTGCCTTATCGGGACCCCTGGAAACCCTCAGCTTGAGAGTAGAGGAGGTTAAAGACGACGGAGGAGCTGATGCAAAGCAGTTAGCAGAACAACAGCGAAAACTCTGTGCGGTAGACAGGATGGTTCTTTTTCTCGAACGGAATTGGCATCTCCTAGCTCAGTCTATATCCGAAGTAAGGAACAGGTTTACGCATTTCTTTGCACATGATGATCCTTTGTTTTTTGCTGTTTCCTAATCCATAATGGTGGTGTTTTTGTATTCTTTGTGACTCCAGCTTCGATTTCAACTTTCGGGACTTGAACAACGTATTGACCAAGCTGTACCCGCTATTCGCGACTCCACTGTGCCGCCGACGGATCATGCAAAGGTTTGCTTTACTTGTCCAGAAAGAGTGAATTCATGTTTCTTGAAAGCGTGTTCGAGAGTATCTAGGGACCTTGGGAAAATGTGATGCGATGTTGCTGCGCCCGGTTCTTCGTTCGGTTGTGCATTCAGGGACTGCCTTTGCCGCTGGAGTCATCCGCTTTTATTCATAATATCGAAGAGCCCCATGAGAAGAAAGTAATTGCGGCATGCAGGATCCCGGGAGATAATGCAACAAGTGCTCCGCAGGGCGATGGGCAAACCGCCTTCGCCTCCAAGGCTTTGGAAGAGCTTAGCCGCATACAGAACCACGCTGAGGCATTTGGAGCGTGCATGCGACGGCTGGCCAGTGGAACTGCTCCAGATGGTTTGAAGGGACTCAATCCAATTGAACGCCGCGTTTTGTCCTTTGCGGGGACTCCTAAGGTGTTTGCAGCACTGCAAGAGCTGGAGAGGGCCCTGGAAACCATTAATTTGTGTGGATCAGGATCCTCCGGAACTCGGCTATATTAGGTGTGAAAGTTTCTTTAATATCCAATTTAGCTAGGAACCCCCGTCCAAAGGCCCTCCATAAAGAGAAGTTTGCTGGAGAAATACGAGCATCGTTTCTCTTCTTTGTAAAGCCCCATCTCTACGGTAGGTGGCATATTGGGATTCCAGTTGAGGCGAAGCAGTAATTGCCTGGATTCAGATCAGCAGGGTGCGACCGTATAGCCAACGGGGCAGCAAGAGCAGCTTCATGCTGTCTTGTCGTGGTGCTTTGGAACAGCTGTGTGGTGGCGGGCGTACAGTGCCTCCACACTACGCTCACTGCTGGGTGCAGTTCGTATAGCGTGAACAGTCAGCATGAGGCGTTTTAAATATTTGATATATTTGTGTTGTTGATTTGCTACCTGTTTAACTGCAAAAGTGTCGTTTACTATACGAAGCCAGCTTCCGTTTAGCAACGCTTAAGCGCACGGCAAGCATGCACAGTGCCCGTAAGCGAACTGGATGATACGACAAGGAAACGCATAGTTGAGTTAATGAGCAAGCATGATCATATGCCCGCCTAAACCCCAATTTCCGTGCAGCTCGAGCCTGCGACTTTAGTCAACACACTTATGCAGGAAGTTTTGTTCAATTCGTGGGCTACAGCTCACCACTGTCACTGGTGGTGAAGGTGCAGCATGCGCACACCCAGTAGAGCCAGTCTGCAAATTGCTATTAATCGCGAACTCGCGAACTCGCACATACGTCTTGCACTGTTTTACAATAGGTGCTCTCAAATGCCAACCTTCAGGTTGTGAATATGGTGAAGACGGCCAGCCTGGCTATGGACCTGGCTATGGAGCCGTCATCGGTGGTAAGAGATATTCCAAACGGGGTAGTTTCCAACTAGAAGAAACGTCGAGGTGAATGGCTCCAAGCTAAAATAGAATTCATTATTCTTACCCGTGAGGCGACGGCTTCAGTTTCTGTTCACCCAGATTCCGTCGTCATGATCACTCCAGCAAAGGCTGCCACCTTCAGCGTTAGAATCTTTCGTCGCATGTAGGGCTTCTTGTGACGCCCTTCACCGCTGCCATAGGCATGTCCATTTGAAATGCCGCAGCTGCTGCGGCACAGTTTTCCCAGGCTAGCTAGGATTAGCGAAGCTGCCTTGAAGGCGAACAGAAGAAGTACAATGATAATGATAACTATGGCCGCCAGAGCAAGCAGCGAAGCACCGAGGACGCAGAGGTGGCATAAGTACATACGACTTTCGGAGGGGCCCTTCCACCCTTGACATGTCCACTGTCCAATACCAGCTTGATGCTGTCGCTGTTCAGACGCAAACGAGGAAAGGAGCTTCTCTTTCGCAAGGCGCCCTGATACTGCATCGAATGTCCTGGACAGAATCCACGTTTTTGTTTCCAGCAGCTCCACCAGCACCCAACTCTCTGCCAATGCACTGGCCACACGATCAGCTGCAAAATGCGCCGCATCCGATGCAGCAAAACGCGTTTCTGACGGCCTCTTTCGGCGTTTCCCTCCGGGTATGCTAACCAAAGAACACACTAACTGGAGATCCGGGCCTAGGTCTGCGAATGCGAACGGATCCGCAGGTTGGTTTGCCACTCCCCGCTGAAAAAGCTGATCCATCTCTTCGCGCTGCTGCTGGCGTCGAGAGCTCTGCAGCTGCAAGCACGCCTGTCGAAGCAGCTTGTCGCTTGCTGCAGAGAAAACGTAGAGAAGAAGCAGCCGGCTGTCTTTTCCGTTGCCTTTCATCCTCAGCGGGTGGGACAACTCAGGTTCACGCAGACGAATGCTAATGAATTCACTTGGAAGTAATCGCCTTGACTCTGCCAGCCTAGCAATGCCCGCAGCACGCGCCGTTGCAGCCATGCGTGTTAACTGGTCTGCTGCAGCGCTGAGACGCAAAGTTGCTGCGTCGCCAAAGGGGAGAGCGCTAGTAAAGGCCTCTCGGCGTGAAGTCAAACCAAACATCCGATCCCACAACCACCAGAGGGTTGCATCTGTGAAAGATCCAGCAGCCGACGGCCGAGAATTGGGCTGCCAAGAAGTTAGCAGGCTGCAAGAAGTGAACAACAAATTACTTCGAGGCGGCAAATCAATTCCCGAATGCCCTGTGCCTTCGCCTTCACAAGCATGCGCCAAAAGCAGGGCAGAGTGCAGCTGGAGCAATCGGTGAAAAAATATTGCATTCCCGCCGACCGCGGTCTGTGTGTATGCTTCAAAGTCGCGTGTTAAAGTCACAATACGTTCCACGATAGCCAGCTGCTGCGCTGGCTTCGAGATCAACTCGTTCACGAGGCTCTCGCGCTGCTTCTTGTATGTTTGTAGTTGAATCCGAAGCTTAGTGGCTTGACTAAGAGTCAGCTGCCGATGCGCGTGAAGTGGTCGTTTCTGCTGCAGCTTACGATGCAGCCGGCGTAATGCCTCACGTTTCTCTCTAACACGCAGAAGCTGAACTCTCCATGCAGCGTTGCCTGTGGACAGTTGCTGCAAATATTCTTGCCGCCCTAATTCATCCCGGGGACGGTCGTTCGCCGATGGAAACAAAATTAACTGCAAGGGATTCTCGATGAATTCGAGCTCTCCAAAATTGCGTTCAGTGTACAGCAAACGAGGGCCTGAATCAAAAACAAAAGTGTTTCCACCACTCAAACCCAGATAAATGACGCAGCAAAAAACTATGGAAAATTGCTTCTGCTATCATCCCCAAACCCTAGAAGAGCTGGAAGTAAAATACCTGTAGTATCCGCATTGAGGGAAGATGCAAAGGGAACCCCCTCAGTCAGGAGGTAAGCAGCAAGCTCGACCATTGCTGGAGCTGCTCGGCATATTGACTCGGGTACCCCATGCCCCAATCCGCTGCTTGTCATATCGAAAAGGTACAAACTCGATCGATCTTCCTTGAGCAGCTCATTCTGCTGGGAATTATCGTTTGCAAATGGTGGCGGCGGGAAGGCCCCCCGATAGGCTGGGGCCCGTGGGCGCCTCCACTCTTGCCTTGGAGCAAACACATTTGGTATCGCTGCAGCACGGAAAAGCGCTAACAGAAAGAATGGGAGGTGGCGAGGAATCCACCAAAAGAGCTGGGACTGCCTGGGCGGTAGGGTGCAACATTGCTCTGAGGCGTCGCAATCGTTGCCGACGTTCGCCCCTTCTTTTTGCCCATTCTCTACATTTAAATTGAACTCATCAGCATCTGGATCTGCTAGACGTCGGACCTGCTGGAGCGGAGTCAGACTACCAGTTGTACGACTGTGGGAAGCCGTCAAATAGCTTCGGGCCTCCGGCTCATTCAGGCACCAGTCCACTGGGAGGCTCTGACAATGCATTGCTGTGGCAAACCACCAAAAAGCGGTAGACAACCTCTATGTCATAAAAGCATTACCTCATCTTTGGCTGCATCTATATGAGTCCAGGAGGCAAGCAATCCAGATACCAATAACCACTATCATCTTCCCCAGTTCGAGGCGTACCTGCGAATTCTGCAAAGTGCGTGTCACCGGATAGTACGATAGGCGTTTTAGCTCCGGAACCCGCTAGCAACGCAAAAAGGCGTTCGCGTGCCCACGGGAAGTGACTCCATGTCTCTGTCACCAATCTAACAAATGCATACCCACAACGCACAGGAGTGCTACAGTTTAGCATGCTGTTCAAGCAAGGCATGAATCGAGACGCAGGTGCCGTGAGCGACAAGTCCACGAAAAATGAAGAGCCCAGTAGAAGAACTCGACAGAGTGATCGCTAAGTCGAGAGACAAACAGGTGTGCCCCTGGAAGCAACTGAGCAGGCAAACGAACAAAGTCAGTGGGCAACGACGCTTCTCACGAGATGCGCATACAGCACAGTTGCCCCCATAAACACGTTGGTTTCATGCAGGGAATAACCTTTCTGTGCCTTGCCTGTGGTTGGCGAATGCCTGCAGTGATGAGACCACTACATTCACGTCCGCTGTCGACGACTGCAGCTCATGCTGCAGCCAGGCCCACTGCTGCTCGCCCAACATATCTCCCATGTCCATGAGCCACCAGCTATCCTTTTCAAAGCTGTACATCCCCATTCACAGCAGAGGGTTTTGTACACGCGGGCGTCCCCTTCACTACGAGGAAGCGTAAAAACGCCCAAAACCAGAGAAGGCAACACTTTTTACTGTATCTCGTGCCCAACTCGCCAACTCACCGTAGGTCAAGGAAAATCACTTTGACACTCAGGTCTTCCCCCATGTATATTTCGTGAGATGAATACACGCCCTTCCAATCCAGCGATCGAATGGCAGCAGTTTCGTCCACACCCAGAAAATTAAGCATGGCCTCCTTCGACTCTTCCGCACAAGCACAGAAACAAGCCTGACAGTGGATCGTCACGCGAGGTAAGAAAACCAATCATCAACGCATTGGAGACCTCAGAGAGCGGATTGAGATCCCACAGAGTCTACGCGCACAAGCAAGGGTGGCCAACTACGCAGCAGTTGCCTACCATATTTAAATGTATACATTTTGTCCGCATTATCTTCGCCCATGTCATGATCATCCCAAGTTCCTGCAATATTTGGGACTTCTCTCAAGAATTCCTGAAAGCAAGGGAGAACAGGCTCTAAGACTGCAGGTAAAAAATGATCTGCTACATATCGCACGAAGACCACAGGGCTTTCCAAACCCGCTTCCGGAAGACCTTCACAACTTGTATCCTTATGGTGAAAATGTAAGAGCCTTCTCACCGTGTACTCTTTATTAGCAAGCTGGCTTCTGTATGCTGCGATGAGGCCCGGGGGAGGAATTGGTTTCTTCCCCTCCGACAGCTTCCACAAAAAGTTTCTAGAATCGCTTGCAGTTGGGAGTTGCATGTGGTCCGCTGTGTGAATGCGTATGCAAACGCCACACTTGGTATGCAGTAACTGCAAATGCATAGTTTGGCATGATTAAAGTTGGTTGTGAGGAGCTGCAGATATTGCCTGTGTGAAAGCGGCTCATCAACCGTGCTGAAAGGAAGGGTGTTACCATATACGTTGTCGCCCATCCAAAGGAATGCATGGGGCTTCCGGCGGCTGATATATTTCCAGACTCGGCGCCCTTCAGTATCGTGTTTCGCATCGAGCCCTGAAACCCACATCGCACAGCATCTTCTGTTACTTGGGGCAACCCAACTGAGTATCCTCATTTTCCCGTACAAGTCACGCAAACAGTAGCGCCCACCGCCTTTACCAAGTACTTGCCTTCTGGCTGTCTGTTGCACGACGCGTAAATAATTCGGTGAGGGGAATGGGGATGGTGGCCCATGTCGTAAGGGGGGAAGGAGGATGATGGAAAGCTGGATAGAGGCCGCCAGAATGCAGGCGAAGGGTTAAAAGTGTAAGTAGTATCCAATTCGTTGTCTCCGAATGGAGCTACACTGGCAAGGTTTGCAGTGGTCGCCAGCCCAGAAGTGGCTTTCGGTGGCAGTACCTCCGTCATGTCTTCGATTGCAGCGACGCAAGCATTTAGCAGAAACGGGAGATAAATCAAGCCAAAGAGGCGGGAAACCACCAGCAGTAAGGACAAACCGTCTTGCTGTTGCCTCGCATTCAAGGGTCGAGCGATACGTCGAATTTTTCGAGACATCATGCCCCCAGTGCTGTCAGGTTAGGCAGTCAGCAGCGACAACGGCACTTTACCACCATTCAGCCAACCCGAATTGTCAGTATTCAGCCAAATTGTGGTGCCGTTCCTATATATTTGGCTTATCATAGGCAGAAGACAGCCTGTAGTCATATAAAAAGCGAAGGTTCTAACAGTGGAACGCCACGGGCGTCAGCCACTTTTAGGTCCGCGTTCGCGCTGTACAGCTCAGTCGAACCTAAACGAATACTAAATGTAAAAAGGGCTGTAGAATGGAGCACTAATGAGACCTGCAGTAGAATCGAACATGCATCAGCTGCCCGAGCCCCCGGCACGTAGCTCACCTCACCCTCTGGGGGGACACCGCTATAGGCAACGAGCCAAGCAAACTCTGCATACAATCAGAAGGCTTTGAATCGCCCAACTGCCAACCGCTTCATCAGAAATAAGGAATTTCCTCGGAGCCATGAATAACGCCCCTCCAGCCCCAAAGAAGCCCCGGGTAGCCATTGATTTTCCAAGCCAACGTGGAGACAGGTATGCAAGGCAGTAAAATTCTACAAGGTTAGCATCAGAATTGGTTGTTAGAACTTCTAGATGGTATTTGAGTGACAGAGGCAGAAGACGTGTTGCTGGGCGTGTTGAGCGCCACCGACGAGCTCTCGAGCTTGTGTGAAGACACCTTGGCACTTCCGTTTATTATGCCGAAGTGGCAATTGTTCCATTCCTTGTCTCTTTTGGCTCATGTGAGGGAAGTTCGCGTGCGTCTGCACCCTGGCCGGGTAGCCTCTGAAGGATGCCGACAGCTCGCCTGTATGCTGCACAGCAACAAACTGCAGCAGAAATTTCCAGGCCTTCGATCGCGTGTCGAGCTTTTAGGGTAGGTTTTGCATATTCTTCACAACGTAGGTGCTGCTTGTACGGAGGGATCTCCATTCTCCAGGCGAGTAGTTAATGGCTTCAGTGGTTCCTTCGCTTCGGCAGCTGGGTGACAGCAGAAAGTGTGTCCATTGACCATTCATTGTTCGAAGCATCTTCTCCCCTATTTGCGTTGCCAGTATATGTGAAGGGTTTCCGTTTTTGTTTTCGTTTCCGCAGGTATGACGCGCCGTCAGAAGTGCACATTGAGCTAAACAACGGCAAAAAGTTCTGGTAAGGGTACTCGCCCCAGTGGTTCCGTGACAATTCTAAAAGCTTAGAAGTCGAGTATTCCGTCACTATTTCTCCTGCATTCTGTGGTTCCCTTGCGTTGGACATCAAGGCTCCCTGGCGACGGGCTCTCTCTGAAAGAGCTGCATATGCGCATAGACCGAGAACAATATCAGCGTAAGCCAAGGCGCCAGTTCAATTTAAATTGCTTCTCGGCAGTGCTACCTTATATAGAATAGTATGCTGTACCCAGGTGTCTTGCGAAGGTGCTAGCTTTGCTTGTCTGTGTGCTGTCTGCAGTTTATGTTGAACACATCAAGGAACACGCAGCTGACGCAGCAGCTGACGACGATGGGTAGCATTTACTGCGGGCATAAATTGAATAAGGGACGCGCAGTGAGCATCGTGGTCTTTGTTGGCGCGAACCAGCAGAGAGGTGCTTGCCCTCGGATAATGCACATATATCCCAGTTGCGCCCGAATTTTGTTCGCCTCCGAGTCTTAACAAAGCATTTGACTCATATCTGTCATAGCCGCTGCCGTCTGTTTATTATGTTGCAGCGTTGCCTTCGTGTGCCCTATTTGCCACTGAGCGACCCAGGTCTGTTCACCCGTACCCAGCGATCTCATGACCTCTGCGCCTACCACCCTCGTCTGTGGGAGTCAATTTTTCCCGTACAGCGTAGCCGCTCTACGCCAAGCACTAATACCTCCCTGAATGCACGAGGACGAGTCCCTATAATCGAGAAAGCGGCAACGCGTGAACTGACGACTTCCTTTTAGATGCGATCTGGACTGCTCAAACTTCGCTCTACTATGTGGCAAATGGCCTGCTTGTACGTACAGCTCAGTAAAATGCATTTCACAGTCTGAGCCGGCACATCACATGACGGAAAAATACAGGCAATTACATGTCAAGTCGACCCAGATGGCACTACCAAAGTTCCGCCACTGCGCCGCCGTGCGACATGAGAATGGGCAACAGGGCCACTGCCTCATGGTCACTGCGCTTGCAAAGCTTCATACACACATATATATACATACATGACGAGCGAGCCTCAACTGGCTTCCGCAGCGCAGCGATCTGGTTGCGATGTCGGGCCAGTTCGGCTCCTCCTCACCACCCCCTCGTCCCCGTTCCCGCGACCCGCCCCAGCCTCTTTTCTGTACCAGACTGCCTTGGTGCGTCAACATCATACCACTTCCATCATGCTCGCCATGCGGTACTTGTGAACAGTGAAATTCAAACAAGAGGAGGCTCCTATTCATCGAAGCTTGGATTAGTGTAGTCACGAGTCTGAGCCCCTTGCTGATGCAGCCCACGCAGGCTAGACCTTGTCCGCCTTGACAGACAAGAACGGGTGTGTCATCAGGTACTTCTCAGGGAGCCAGTTGGAACCCCTTTCCTGTGAACACATGGGCAAAGAAGGCCACGAGAAGATGAGTGAATCTCTCTTTGCGCGACCTACTCCATGCAGGAACAAGCGCACCATCAGTGCTGCTGTAGTCGGCTAGTCGTCGCTCACCTTGCGTCTCCTGTCTAGATATCGTGTCATTGGGTTGCTGTTTTCTGCTCGTTCTCTCTCCTTGTTTGCAAGCATCCACTCTGTAGTGTAGCGCTTCGGTTTGATACCTGAAAAGGGAGGGCAGGCACGCACATCGGGGGGAATGCCGCCGCACAGTCACGGCTCCTTATTGCGAAACATGTCAACGCGACAAGCACGTAAGCATGCTCCACCAACGGCTTTTGCCTAGGCCTACCGATGAGCGAGAAAGTGGTGATCATGAAGGCGACACTCAGGGAAAACAGCAGCAGCGGAACTGACGCCACTATCATGTTGTGCTGCAACAACCAAGCACTGAAAAAAAACGTACCACACCGCAACTCGAAAAGCAAGGTGTACTTCTTTGACTTCATTATGACGCACGAAGACAGCTGGGACAGATGAACTTCCAAGTAAGGCCACTCCAATCGAAATGCGGTGGCTGTGAATATCTGGACGTACTAGTGAGCAGGACTATCCCGCGCGAACTGCCCCTTATAAACGGTGTGAAAGACGCCCACTGGAGCCAAATACCAACGCTGCCAGTCATACTTATGGTTATACGTGGTCTGGGTTAGTCGGTAGACCTTGGGGCTGCCATCGGGTGCAAATTCCCGTGGAGGAGGGGAAGGTATATGTAGATGCGGTGAGTGTGTGGCAATAGTTCGCACGTTCGAGAGAAGAGGTGGGAAGTATCGTCCATTGCCTATGCTGGACGCCGTACCCCTGAAGGTCAGGGCTGTAGGTTGTGCGCAAGGGCGCACGAAGAGGAAAGGAAGCATTGAGGCAGCGTGATGACTTGTCACAAAAAAGTAGAATTGCACATTTAGTATTCGTCCAGTTCCACTTGGGAATGATTCAGCTCTGAGGACGTACCGCTAGGAGTGAGGCAAGAGTCACTGTCTGTCTGAGCGCTCCAGACGAGTGTTGTCCCAGGCGTTACACTTGCTCCCAGACACTGGTAAGGGCAGCAGGAAAAAACGAGAAAACACGTTCTCGCCTAAAATGTGGCAGTAATAAGTGTAATAAGGTGATAAAAGCGTGGGAAATAGGGGATTTTCATGGTGGCTGCTCCCTACGGGCCTCAGGGTCGGTGTAGCTGATAGCTGCAGAGCTGTGGGGGAAATGAACTTAGGTTTTTTTCACGTTGCACTAACATTGGCAGTGTAATGGCATTCCCAGCAAGAGAAATGAATGCTCAGTGACCACAGGGGATTCTAAGAGAGGGGAGACTTCAACGCAGAACATCATATTTGCGTACACGTTTCCCTACAAGGAAGAGTGCATCTCTTAGGCAAGCTGAGAACCAAAGACGGCGACATGCTGATGACCCAAGGACTATTGTAAGCTGTAAAGGATTTCAGTGGGTTGTTCTATTAACTTTGCGAAGTGATGTTCGCTCCCGCTCCCATCTACATTCGTCCTGAACAGCACAGGATTCTGGCGCTGGCGGGAAGTGGAGGTGGCTAACAGTAGTACTGCAGCTCCTGCCGCTAGAGCAAAACAGCATGCAAGCATGCACAAATTCCCTGAGCTGCATGGATTAACACGGGAGTATATGGCTACATAGCTACCTGGTTCCCCGTAACGAACATAAACACAGGCGTGGATGCATCCACCAACCGCCGAGAATTGCCCCTGCAGTGAACCGGTTCAGTCACTTCCGTCACTACTTAACCGGGAAGCAGGGCACCTGGTTAGTGTTTTTTTGAAGCACTGCACAAGCTGCCACTAGCTAGCTCGACGAAGGACGCAAGTTTCGGCTCTACTCTTACTACACACTTCTATGCCACCAATCTGTGTGCCTTTCCGTCTCCACAAAGTATCTATTTTATTTCGCAGTAGGTCATGCAAAAGGAACTTGAGCTCTTCCTATTGAAGCATGCGTACCTACATCCAAGTACTGGTCTAAGTCTAACGTTTGTCCGCTTGCGGTTTGCGGCCCATGCCGCAGGTGGAAGCATGCAGCAGCCACCATTAAAAGGCAAAAGTCATTCACAGGCCACCACGCCGACCACAAAGTACAATGGTGTTACTGAAGGCACGCACCAGCAACTCTTCAGCTTGTATAGTTTTCGTTTGTCTGCTGGCATGCTTCGCATTTGACGCCTTGCATTGCCTAGCAGTATTTTACTCCAGCTTTACATCTTCGCTACATGCTTCTTGTCTACCTTCATTTTGCCACTCACGACCTGTTTCCTGAGCTCATGCTTAACAGTCAAGTTACTTGGATATCATAATTTCCTTATACTCAGCTCATGGTGAAGTGTCCTTGAAGCCGAGTAGTGCCACAAAACTGGGCCAACCGATGCGCTTTTGCACTGCAGGCAGCATCGAACGATTAGTTCAGCGTCAAAACTGCCGGCAGAAGCCAATAGAGCAACACGGCAACGCAACAAAGACACTATAGAGCCTCGGATATACTTTCTATCCCCGAAGCATGCGGAACCAGATCATTTATGCACTACCCAAAAGGAGGGAAGGGGGGTGGAGGGGGGGATAGTAGAAAAGCGTCGAAAAAGTAGAGTAGTGCTACTAAGGAGCCGAGTAGGACACCTGCCTCTTCACAAGATAGGAGTTCTGCATGCTGGTCCGCTCTGGACAGCACAAGAGCTAAGTGGTGTGGTCAGTCGACGCCCAATAGTAATGGTATAGGGTGGGTGGCCATTGTTGAGTAGAGCTTCGTGCTGAAAAAAGGCCATAGAATAAGCGAGCATTTCCAAATGTGAGCAACTCTTTTTTTCCTCCACAGCAAATGCCCGCCCCCGCCTTGTCGACGAGCACACGTATGATGACTCTGAGACAGCGCTGACGCCAGAGCTTCTCGCATATTGTCAGCGCAGCGTTGGGGAGCAACGCAGTCACATTTCAACGACCCCTCTGAAAGAACAGCCAAACAGGGTTTGGCAACTTGGTATTTCCAGCTCTACCCGTGTCAATGATCCCTTCTGGAAGTGCAATCTATCCGCGGAGCCTGCTTCTGCAGACTGCATAGTTTAATCACGATCGCTTGAACGACCACGCCGACGGTCACGATCCCTATCCCCACCTGCACCACCTCAAAAAATGAAATACAACGCCATTTCTTACCGAAACACACCCTGCAGTGAAACTTTAAGCAAACTTTCTACATTCGTGGGTCAGCGAGCCCCTTGACAAACCAGACAACTCCTTACCTCGGCTCGGTGAACGCGACATACTGCGGGACTCGCTTCGTCGTCGGCCCTTCCGTCTCTCATGTCTGTCGCTTCGAGTACGGCGACTTCTGCCTCCAGACCGAGAGCGGCTCCGACTTCTGCTGCGACCGTGGGAGGCTGAGAATACGCATATCCAGCAATACCCAACCCCAGGGCTAAACGCACGATGCATTCGTTCCGTTTACTCCCCAGAGCGTATTCCGGCCTATCACCCTAGAATAATTTTGCGTCAAATTTTTTCACAAACCTCCCAATGGAAAATACTCGTCTACCGATTTTTACTTCTGATTGTTGGCTTACGTGCGCGAGCCCGTGCTGGTGGCGCATCGTCGTTGTCCCACCCTCTCATGCCACCTGTGTCTGGAATTGTATCGTCTGCATAGGAGGTATAACAGAAGCAGAAGCAGTGTTTAGTTCACGATGCTGCACCCAGCCGTGTGACCATGTCACACGGTTTGCAACGACACGGTGCTACGCGGCAGGGAACAGGAGTGCCAATTCTACCAGGAAACCATACGGAAACGTACACGCTACAAGCGTTGGCGGCTTCGGAGGGGCGGTTCCGGTCGCGAATTGCTTGATTTGCTTGTTAAATTCTGTGGCCATCATTTGCTCATGCCTACGCACCAGCTCTTCATTGATGCGCGCCGCCTGTCAAAGCAGGAATGCTAATATTGCAGGTAAAGATATATGCAAAAAGGATGGAACAACTGCCCCTCGCCGTAGTGAAAGTAGAGTGCACAGTGCACAGCCCATACTTGAACATCAAGCAATCCATTTCTCACCTCTTCTCTCTTCCTCTCCATTTCCAGCCTTCTGTTTTCCAAAAATTCAGGGGGGATTCCCGTCGGAGTATTCTGCGCACGCAACGCCACAAGGTGTGCTGCCACGAAATGCCCCAAGTTGCTACTTGTGCTGTTCCCAGCACAAATCATAAACAAGCATTCCTCGCAACATTGTCTGGTCCCTTTAACGAGGCAGCATGTGCTGCCCAGCTACCGCCTGTGCTTCGCAGGCAAATAATTTGAGAACTAATGCGGGCATTTTAATGCAGTGCAAATGTCTTAAAGGCAATGATATTTCTGACCTTTGTGCCATAATCACCTGAGCACTCAGGAGGAGTTTCCAAAGTTCGCGGACGAAATGCGTCGCCTGTTTTCCAACAAATCCAGTAAGCGATATTGCAAGTTTCTTGGGACATAGGTAATTCTTTCCTGCACAAAAGCATTGTCACTTCTAATTTCCGCGCATTATTTTCTTGCGGGACGTCACATTACCTGGGAGGCAGCTGTCCCCAAGCATTTCCTGTCCCCACGGGAATGTGAATGCATAAACTTTCTAGTGCACAGCCAACTCCCTGTCGTACTCTCGTCAACATCCGCAGCGAGGGCTTCTTCCGGCACCAATTGCGACAGGCAGTAAGAAATTACAATATCATCTTCAAAGCCTAAGGCAGCGAAATCAAACGAAGTTGCAGTGCTACGCGGTATTACCCCTTGAGTGTGCCGCTTGTTCATTAGGTTTCGGTGCTCAAATCCACAAAACTTCTAGAGATTAAGGCTTACCGAGTAGCTCTGTGATCTTATGGTTGATCCACGCTTTCATAACCTCCACGTTTACCTTGCTCATGTCAACTTCCTGTTCGAATATTGCCGGCCACTACAAAGAGACAAAATACAATCACGTACACATTCGGCGTTTTCTTCGGTATGCCCTGGATAGTAGCTAGATGCAAAGAAGCATGTTCATTCATGAGGCAACCGCCCTATGGAACCCAAGAAAACAAAAGACAAACCATGTTTCATGCAAAAAGACAGCTACAACTCACTTTCCTCTGTGCAATAAGTTGGCTGTCCTTGTCCTTAAAGAAAGGAGTCTGGTCTTTAGAAGTGCCCTTGTAGAAATTCCCCGACATTTCTATTTCAGAGCAAACCAGTACAGGCCACGAGCGGCCAGAACTTCTAACAGATGATCACGCCCCTCCTTGAAATAACTAGGCGTCAAAAGGCGTTGCTGCTACGTAATATGTTGTGGCAACGGCTGACCGCGGCTCGTCCTAGTGACACTACTCTGGTGATGAGCGCAGGCGACTGATGGCCCCCACCGCCAACGAAAAGGTAACTTCAGTGTTGCCCTAGGAGTGTATAGGTGATTGCAATCGTACTTTTGTCAAAGGGGGATTCCTTGGGCAGATTTCAAGTGATTTGGCAGCGTCCGCTTCGTAGGCATGCTTTGGACTCAGCAGCGCCTGCAATTGAGGAGGATGAAAAGATATTAAACTTCTGCTCCATACAGATAAAAAGAATTAGGAATACTGCCAGAAAGAAACAGTGATAGGGCTATGCCTCAAGCCACTACAGAAAATGGATTGCCAACACCTATCGGGCCGCGCAGACCGCCTGTTACCAGACCTCAACGTGCTTGAGAACAGCAGACGCTTCAGTGTTCGAGTAAATAAATCTCAATTTGCCAATATACGACAAACAAGCAGCGAAAAGAGTACACGTGATGAAGGCTCTGTTGCATTCCCTTGCTCCGCATGCATGGAAAATGCATGCAGGAAGGGGCCCCGCTGCGTAGAGCTGCACTGTCTTGCTTGCTTGCCGGCTGAGCAAGATCGGCAGCGCCTGGGTACGTTAATCCGTCTCAGGTGCTAGTGGGATCTAATTATTTCGACTATGTGTATTCAGTGCATTTCTTGTTCTTGTCCTGATAGCATATGAGGGAGATATCCTGGGCCCGAAATCCTCAAATGAGCTGGCAACCCATGCATGTGGGACCCTCCGAGAGTTAGGCGCAACGAAGCTTTTTTGCGAGAACGAAGTGTTGGTAGAGATTACACTCCTGAATCGAGAGATTTCCTTTGCAACCAGCCACTCAGATTACGATCCGGGAGGCGCCACTAGACTTCACTGTCGGAGTGCTGCAGCGAGATTGTAGAGTACCTCTGAAGATGCCATATACATTTCAACTTGCATGCAGGCTTGCCATGGGAGGCAAAGGAAGTGTTGAATAGGTGCCTGAAGTAATAGTGCGTGTGAACTGAAGATCATCAATGCCGTCGATCGTAGGTAGAGGTCATCCTGAGTTTCAATGCGGTCGAAGACCTCAAGTCAGAGTCCCCAAAAGCAGCTGATACCCCCCTGCAGTCCCCTATCCCAAGGGACTTGTATTGGTGCTGAGGGGTGGGTACCTGTTATGAGCTGCAGCGCACCTTGCTGCAACTAATGTTGCACGGCTACCAAGAACTGCGAAATCTGCTCCCGTGCTTCCCTTTTCTCCACCACACGCCTTCGTGTACCCGGTCGCCCAAAGCACCAGAAGGAAAGGAAAAACATTATAAACGGGAAAGAATGGCATCTGCAGGTGAATATTCGATTTGATGCTGTTGGTCGCTGCTTGTTGCTTCTGGCCCTCGCAGTATTGGCCATTGCTCTTTAATAATGACGGCTTGTGCCGTTCAGTGGGATTTGGGTGTCGGTTGTGAGCATCCCAATCTAGTTAAAAATGCGAATTCAACTGCTTCCAGCGCGCAGCATCAATGCACACACAAGGAGGGCTCAAGGCAACAACTAAACGGGGGGCCCAGGTGCAAAATACCCAAAAAGTGTATGCATTTTGGACAGCGGTGCCAGGTTATGTATTGTTGGACTCAAGGGAGAAGGCAACCGGAGGAAATTAATTACCGTAGAGGAGCGCGTCGATGCAAGATATTAGCGCCCTCTTTAGATGTGAACGGTTGAACGTGACCCAAATTTAAGATGCGTTTTGCATACCCACACTTTCCGTCTCTGCCGCTAGTTGAGGCGGCAGAGACTTCTATTTACCGTAGAGAATGCAGATGCTGTTGACAGCGCTGAAACATCCATTCTGGTGTTGCTTTCCTGCCTATAGACTTTAGCAGTGTCATCTGGTGGCCGCTTGCATGGTCTCCACTGTCAAAGATTGCATGTGTGAAAGATAACCTCGTGGTGAACTTGTCCGATAGGAAAACCCGGCATCATGATAATATGACACCATGTTGAATTGAGATTGTCATTTTCGCCCATTGTTCAACCGATAGTTTTGCTCTCCGCCATCGGCGAAACGCTGTCGTAGAGACTCCGCCAATGAATAGTAGTTTGCACCTCCTCGCCTTTCCTTCAGATACTTGATGCACTGGGCATCCTCTGCCCACTAGAGCTAGCAAAGCGTTGGCATTACACACTGTAATAAGCACAGAGCCGACGCGAGGCGGGTGTACAAGTGCAGCTGCCACCTCTTTCCGGTTCACCACTGCTCCTCACTTTGCGCGGAGGCAACAGGGTTTATCCGACCGCTTTGTTTGTTTCGTTGAATGCTCTGCTCAAGCTCTTGCCTCTCCACTTCCTCACGTCGTTTCATGCTCCCGCAACCCCGTCTTGTGCGGCTTTGTTTATTGCAAAAGTGGATGCGTCCTTCTGTGATTAACCCTGGATTTCCTAGTGCCTGATCCGCCGGCAGGCGTCTGTTCTCGCTTCTTACCCTTTTCGAGGGGGGACTGGGGCCTACAGCACCATAGTCAATAGGTTTTGTGCAGCACTGATTTCCAAATCATTTTTCTACCTTCTCAGCTACAGCAGTGGAAGAGGCGTTTTATCTCTCTCTGATAGCAAGTGCTCCGAAGTCTCGGAGAGTTCCACTGTTCCACCCCTTAATTTTTTCCCCACGATTTGGCCCATTGCCGGTTGCTTTTTATTCAGGAGGACAGCCCTGCTATGAGCCGTTGAGACAGAAACTCCACGGCTGCCTTTGGAGCTCAGTTTACCCAGGACTGATGCCTCGATATACCCCTCTATCAACCCTCTTGCTAGAAAGGAACGTACATCGGAGGGGATGTCGGAATGGTTCCACCCAGTCGCGATGTGGAAAAGTAGTTCTGCTGTGGTATAGCAATCATTGCCGTGCCTCTCCTTCTAAATACAAATAGACTTCTTTAAGCCTTCTTTAAAGAAAACCAAATAGAAATTGTAGCCCTTGGGGTGCACCTTGAATTGGAAAGTAGGCCTATAGAAGCGGACGGGTTTCCTCCGTTGTCCCCACTTGGCGGGGCCTTCCATATTGGGAATGTCGGGAGAGGTGAAAACCGACATGAATTGTTGTAGCCAAATGGCAAGACATTCTTCAATGGGTGAAGAACATAAACGACGCTTGCTCCAGTGCAACGAGATGCCCAGCAGTTTGTTGCCTCCCCACCGCCGCGGAGGTCCTGGTCAATCTTCGGTATGCAGCAGGCGACGAGGGATGAATTTTTCAGTTATGGGGGAACATCTGAAGATTGTTCGATTCAATTTTTTTGCAAGGCGCCTTGGCTACCATCTACTCCTATGCACCAGGAACCCCTAATGTGAGAAGCTGCCTCGAAGCCCGGAGATTACAACGGAGATCACTGCAACCAATGTTGCAAAGCAACCCCCATATGCACGCGCAGCCAAGCCCCCTTCACTGCATTCACTAGGGCTGTAGACGGGTGTTAAACGCTCTTTTGGTCCCACATATTGGCGCCTGCGCACGTGGAAATACATGTTTTGATACATGTTTTAACTTAAGGGAGACCTTCTTACGACACACGTAGTAGACGGCATAGTGAACAGAACGAGCTGACAATTCCCACGGCCAACCAGCATAGCCAGGCTTCTGGAACAGTGCCTGTTCTAAGTCCTTGCCCCTGGCACAGTGGGGTCTCTGGAATCTACGCAGAAGTTTCACAAAATACAATGTAGTGGCAAATGAAGACGGAACATGCCTTTATTCTCCTTGTCGATCACCGTGACCCCACTGCCGCCGACAAAGACGTGATTGGCTGCGGCGGTCTACATGGCAATGACGGGGGGCGCGCTTGAATCAATTAGTTCTACTCGTTGTGAGCCCTGCCAACTCTTTTGGTATATGTATAGTTTTTCTGTTTGATTTAGGATTTGTCGGAAGAATTTTTATACATAGAGCCTAGGCATGCGCTTTTGTTGAGGCCAACCGGCAGCTGGTGCAACACTGAACTCTTCACATCAGGAAATGAGGCTCAGCCGCAAGCACGGCTTTACCAGGCCCTAAGGATAAACGATTCACCATAATATTAACTGTGTCTACCCTTGTTTGAAGCCTGTAGAATGGCCGCTCCCAGGTTAATGAAGCCTCTTCAACCGTAGCGCCTTGTCTTGTAGTTTGGAACGGCGATGACGCGAAGTGAATGATACAACGCATATTGGACGATTTAGCAAGAATGCCAGCCAGCTTTTCAGGATATCTGGGTGAGCATGGAAGCCCGCAGCCTACACAAGATGCACACGAAGGCCGAAGCAAGGCAACCACTGAAGTCCCTCAGGACCACAAGGGCCCACCTTGGCAACATTTCCAAGGACCGGATGATTCAGAAAGCGTTGTCAGCGAATTGATATTTCGGCTTAAGGAAAGTATTAGCGAGCAGGCAGGGAGCTGGTGGAGGGCTTCAATGGCAAAGGCGGCGAAGAGGCCTCTGCTCGCTTCATACGAAACGGCTCCAGAGGAAACCTTCGCAAGCACCCATGAAATCCAAGATGAGCTTGTTCCAGTATGCATCACATTCTGACAATAGGCAACAGAGCTATGCGACAGGGCTACTCAGGGTCGGTCGCGCTCGAGTTCTGGCTGCCTGGTGCCGAAAAAATATGCTTCCGAGCTTCTGCCTTAAAAGGAAAACCCTAGATTTGGCCTCATTTGCTCGCTAGCGACAATCTTTTGAGCTCTACCAGGGCATATGGTTGGCTCGATTGAATAGGCATTTAATGTTTTGGTTTCCTAAGTTTCCCTGTGGCTCCTGTGCCTTCACGCAGGGACCGAATGAGAATTCTGTTTTCAGCAGTAATTGGCACGATCGCCTGCAGTGGGCATTTCAGCGGGTGCTCACCCTCCGTGAGTCCCAGGACTCGAGGTCAGCAAGCCAGCTCAGAAGACGACTTTTCGAACGCGAGCTGGCCCTCAATCAGTAAGCTGTCTGCGTCCCGCGAAGAATATCCATATCTGTCTGGGTTCTGCGCCGGCAGTAGTATTGTGCCGTTGCTGTGCAATTTACGCAGCAAATGCTAGCTCACAATTTAGGGAAACTGGGACTTTTCACATCAGAAGGAGCGGCTCCAGTAAAGGTTTGCAGTTTGGGCAGCATTGTCTTCGCTGCGTACTGCAGCGAGATTGGATCATTTGCGGCAGCTGCCCGTGCTGCAGCAGTAGTGTTGGTGCACTCTCTGACCTTGGAAGAACGAGATGGTTCAGGGGAGAAGTTCAAGCCTGCGAACGAGGAGAGGCAACAGCGAAAAGGACCAGCCCAGTGCTTCATCCGCATAAGACAAGAAGAGCATTCGACCTTGTGGCGTGTCTATCAACCAAAGTTTCCAGACGGTAAGCTTATGACATATCAGGACGCCTGCCATCCCCCCATGCATTAAGGGCCTTTGCCGCCCACCAAGGTGTTAAGAATACAGCGGCACAGCGCTATACGTTAGAATTCTCGCACCCCAGTCAATTCTTAGTCCCCTGCGTCTCGACAGACGAAGTTTACGTCTTTGACAGTCTGGTCCTGACGGTCATAGTGGGAGACGCCCAAGCAAACATCAAGCCACACTTTGCAAAAGAAGTCTACCAGAACGATGTGAAGGGCCGACAGGCAGTTGCAGATGCAGTGTATGCGACAGTTTTCGCGCGAAAGAAAGAGACAGATTTGCGCCTCCTCAGTCGCTTTCAGCATCAACGCGGTCATCAGCGCGACCTTCGGCAACAAGTAGATACCGCGTGGAACTTGCACGACCCAACTAAATTTGAGCGTGCCAAACTTGGGCTTCCAATCGTTTGCCTTGTTGATTATGCCGGCTTCGCTGTCCTAGTTGAGCCGCTTATACCCCTTAGGTGAGAGAGCATTCTGTTTCATAATTCCCGAATCACACGGAGACATTAAATTGGAGGTGGGAAGTGCGACTTCTGGTTGGACGCATGCTTCGCCACCCAAAGGGCTGTGCATTTTCATGTTCCTTTCTTGTCTTGACAGCCCAGCCCCCGTCAACGTCTTGGAAGAACTGGTGGCGGACATTCGCCGTTGCCTTCCCGACTTTGTACAGCAGTGTGGAAACATTGGTAACCCTCTCGGGTGCTTTGATGCCTTAGACAAAGTAGACCGCTCTACCTATCATAAATTTAAGAACATTGCCGGCTTTTTGAACCTGGCAGTAAGCGTTTAGGTCTCCCTCTATGGTGGCCTCTCGTCGGCTCAGGCGTGGCCCTCGCGTCCTTCAGTTTATGTTTATGCTGGCGCTGCTAGAGAGCCAATGCATTGCACCATTGTTGCCCCACAAAGTAGTGACAGGCTTGAGGAGCGTATTGGTGGATGTTCGGCGCAGCAGTGCATTTTATGATAGAAGCTTCCTTTTCTCCTTTTTGCGTATGAAACCTCAGGACTATCCGTTTCCTCGTGGCGCTTCAGACTTCGCCATGCCGTTGCCTCCAGCGGCGCTCTGGAGGTCTCAGGTGGACCACTTTTGCATATTTCGCAATCTCCATGAAGCGCTGCCTCCGAAGTGTGATGATGGGAGAGTGGTACCGGTACGTCTTCTTGCCTTGCCTCTTCGGCTCAGATCCCAACCAAACAAGCCCACAAAAGTCGGGGGTGCACTTTTTGCACAGCAAATAAACCGGCCACTGAGGTGCCCTTGTTTGGCCGGCGTGTGTCTCCTGCATAAAACTTACTTCATCTGCACAGGAACAAAGGTTCCGACAGACTTTTCTTTCTCGCGTCTTTGATGTTGCGTTGCCTTGCACGAGCAGAGAGCAGCACAGGGCTACAGAGAGTAAGACCCGATCCACCATTTGACCCTATTCCCTTTTTCCGATTGTGTTATATGTCCATGGAAGCCCCCTTGCACCGATTGCCCCAGCATAGCATTTTGGGCTTTTTTCCTCAGTACGTGCCTCAAAGTTTGCTCAGCAGCATACACCATTACGTGGAACGCTGGAGGCGCTTTCTGTGGCTGCGCGCTCATTGGAGCTTGCTATCAAGCAGGACGTCGTACCCACAATCAACGCACTGCAAAAAAATTTTTTGGATTCACATGACGTTGCACATGCTCTTCATACCCATGGAATTAACATTCGGTAAGGTTTTTCAAATAGTGTAGCTCGAGACGCGTTCCAGTAGTCGTCTGCACACATGGGATCTCCAACTGATGCTGCTTGACTGGGTGCAGAAATATGGCTCAGCTGTTAAAACATGGTCCTGCTTCACCATTTAAGGATGCTATCATCCGCGAGGTAGTGGCCAGATCAGCTAAACACTTATTCCGCCTGCAAGTTGAGAAACTTGCTGGAGGCGGAATGGTTGACACCAGCCACATGGAAGAAATTCAACGGTATGCGCGTCTAGTTGTGCGGTAGCCCACGGCAGGTAGACAGCGGCACTTTTTCCTGTGGGGTGGCAACCCTGCAAAGTAGCAGCGTGTTTCATGCCTGATTGTTTTACCTTTTTGGATATGAAAGATTTAATGAATGATATAGGCAGCCTCAGCCCAAGGGCTTCCATGTTAATTGTTGAGGTGGTTGCCTTTGGTTGTTGGGTGCTCGTTTTTGTGAGTGGTTTCACTCAGTTTGGTTGTGAAGCTTTTTAATTTGGTCCTCTCTACGAATGAAGAGTCAAGGATTTTTTGGAGCCACCAAATACTTCCGCTAGCCTTAGAGAGGTCCGGTCGGCTGAGAGATGAATTGAGTCAAACGTTTGTTTAGACGTGTTCGGAGCAGAATCCGTGAAGCATAGGCATCAGCATGCCCTCCAGCGCCCAAACAGTATATACATCTGCGTTTTTTCGTCTCCAGGTACAGGGTAGATCTGACTGAAATGGCCTCTCCGGAGAGCGTTTGCACGTATTCCCTCTTCAAGGCCATGGAATACAACTTGAGTACGTCGCTTGCCTTTCTGGGTTGGCATTCTTGGCAAAATTTTGTTTCGTAAACAACTGCGAACTCCGCTTTTGCCTGAGTAGATTCTCACTCCAATGGCCGGAGCGAATGACCAGAAGCACACAACACGGTTGACACCATTTACGTTCGGTTAGGCGCAGCGCGATAATACCGCTGATGCGGCCAAAGCGTTTCGCCTTACTGCCTAGCCTTTACTGCTCATTGGTATTATACCCCCAAGAACAGCCCCACAGGAAAAGAACACAAAGTGCATGACAAAAGAGCAAAAACTAGCTGTTCGACGCGTGGGGGTGACAGAGTGACGGCTGCGGGCGGCCGACTGGTCTTGTACGATCTCGTCTTATTGCGTTTAAATGCTTCAGGCGTTCAATTCGATAGCAATGTGACTGCGCGTTCAACGAGTCCATCCGGCGAAGCATCTCTGGAGCTTCGACTGCCATTGACTGTAGCAGACTTGTCTACATTCTCCAGCCGTCGGGACTCTCTGCTCTTTCCTCACATTTCACAGGTGAGAGGGGCGCTCGTTGGGGGTTGCCAGACAGATGCCGACAATGATAATGACGGCGAGGACTGGGGGCCCCAACTACGATCAACCAAGCGCCGCATACGACACTTCGAAAACACCGGTTAGACATAAATAGCGAATTCATGAAACTGCGTTAGGGCCATGCTATAGAATGGAGCTTCGGCATTCTAGGGATGGTTGCAAGCAATGGGTTTTGCTCCCTCGGCGTAGGCGCATCGGCTGTCTGAATAGAAAGAACGAGTTCTCCTTTTGCATTTGATGCCTGCACAATGCATGCTTCCAGATGTGTCCACGGATAAAGACGAGAGTACCAAGCTAAGGGCTCCCGGTACAGCGGCAAAACTGCAAAAGTTTGCAGAGCTGCGGGAAGTTCGAGGGTTTTATCCCAGACTCCACCTCGTCGCTCCGGAAACTCTCGCTCTTATGCAGGCAGCTAGTGCGGCGACTGTAGCTGGCGCAAGTAGCCCTTCTTTAGATGTCCTTCTAGACAACATGAAGGCTGGTGAGCGCTCAGATGCCCAGGAACCATCAGTCATCTACAACTCCTCGACGGTATCAAACTTTGCTTTCATGCAAAAAGGGTTTCCCTCAGATTATCGACTCCAGGCGGCAGGTGCGGAAATTTCCTCTTGTCCGTTAGGCGTTGTTATACCAACGTGCCAAGAAGAAATATGGGGCAGTGGCAACTTCGCAATGCACGGAGCCTGCGGAGCAATGAGGGCGGCTCTTATTGGCAAGTCTCATGCCTGTCAACTTCAGATCTGTCTGCAGAGCTCAAGATCACTGCTAAGTTAACGCTCGGTTCGGGACCCTACAGGAAATGGGTCGGCTAGCTTTTGCCTTCTGCGTATTCATCAACCTTGCAGCTGTAGTAGTGGCCTGATGACCCCTCTGGTTGCGCACCCCAAACGGAGTGGCATGCGGGCGCAACCGATCTCGTCTACCTACCTCTCCTCTGTGTTCCCTTCTCAGGAACAGGATACCCCTGCCATCCATACTGCCTTGCAGTGGACGAAGACGAGGCGTTGCATGAAGCCACTTTGAAGGCGGCTGACGAGCACAAGCCCCTATCCCCCCTAAAGCAGTGCCTGAGATACAAGCGAAAGAAACTCGCCTTAACTCTTGCTCTTCTGTCGAAGGCAGCCATCGGTACCATTTAGCCCTGATGCATTCAGCTGAAACAGGCGGCAACAAGCAGACTTGAGACATCTCGGGCACATTTAGAGGAATTTCTCGTGCGGTGTTAACTGACTTCGTTGTGTCACCAGGAAGCGACATTTTCGTGCTGGGAAAAATTTTGCAACAGACTGCCTACATTATGCTACAACACAACGAGATCAAGGCGGCTGCCAGCATTGCAGACTTCATTTACTCAAAAATCCCGGATGGACTGTCTCTCCAGTCAGAAGCTCTGCTTATTGACATGCAGTGCACCACAAGAGGAAGTGAGCCACATCACCTTGGGCATCGAGCGCCGGGCGCTCTTCCTAAAGATCCCCATAGATTTCCTTTGTTTTCATTTCCGACATGAGAAAACGTGTAAATCCTGGCAGCAGCTTTGATTGGTTTCTTGCAGATGAGCCCCAAGATGCCCTGCTGTGCTATCGGAATCTGAAACCAGTTTTGGTTGCTATGGAGGGGAAAATGTCGCTTAGGCTGTTGCTTGCCGACCTATTGCTCGCCTCCTTTGCCTTCAAGAACAAGCGCTTTAACTCAGCCATTCTGCACGCCTTCCGTGTCCATAAAATATCGACAGTGGTAAGTGACTGCCCTTGATCGGGCGGTCTCGAGCAACTTTGTAAGAGAAGCGACTGCCGTCTGAAGCGTTGCCAGCTGCCAACTTTCCTGTTCTGAGTTTGTACTAATACCTCTACTGCAATGACTGGAACTTGCAGATAACAAAAAAATCTCATTTAGACTCCGCACTCATCATGCGTGTGTTGCGAACGGCCTTAGTGTTTCGATACTGGAGGAGCTCACTGGGCTGCTGTGGCCGCTCTACGCCTAATCGGTAAGCAGCTGCTTTTAAATACCCGCAGACGAGAGTCACGTGAGTGCTGTGGCATAGATATGCGAAAATAGCCACTGACTGTCCATTTTTCTGGGCAGGTACGCGTTTCACGTGAGTGTTGTGGCATAGATATTCGGAAATAGCCACTGACCGTCCATTTTTCTGGGCAAGTACGCGTTTTTCTCCCTGAATATCTGGATACAGTGGTATGCATGCATGTGAGGCGCAGCGCGATCGATGCTCGAAGTTCAGCGATGCTCGGAAGCCATCATCATTTTGCAGCACACTGTCAGGGTGGCGAGCACAAATCCAGAGTTGCCAACCCTCGTCACCCACATGAGTAGATTCTGGTTAGCTGCTGCTTTTGCAAGGTACGACGCGGGCAGCAAACCTAGACATACAGCAAAACAATTCACCTGCTTGTTAGTCTCACCGTTTAGCCTTGTGAGGGTCTTCGCCTTTTATCCATCTCAGAATGGGTCGTTTGGAAAACGCTTCTGTCGAGGCTCAAAGCATGCTGGCGGGGCTCGAATCTCAGCTTGGCACGAATCATGAAGCCACAATGTCAGCCCTCTACCTTGCAGGTTGGCCAAAAAACCTTCGATCCCGCTAGTCATTCGAATGAGCACGCAGCGCTGCGAAAATGGAAGTGCTCGAAGTCCCCGGTAATAGAACCTAGCTATGACTTCCCGGATGTGGTGGATGGATCTGCAACTTCAGGAAGGCATGCGGCCTGAGCCAAAGCACGGTTTGCTCTTTTATGATTGCTGTGCTGTAGCTGAGGTGAAGATGCGTCTAGGCTGTCTCTCACTTCAAAACCCACCGCTTAAAATTGGTGGGCCCACTGAACTGGCCGATGAAGCTGGGATTACTGGTGCTCCTACTGAGCTTCAGGAGCCATTGCTCTGGAAACCCTTGGGTGCTGAAGACTTTGAAATATATGAGGAATTATATCGGGACCAAGGCATGATCCAGGCTAGGGCAGTACGATATAGGCTATTGGCTTTTCGAGCACCCAGGCTTCCGGCGATAGAGGCCAGTGGGATCCAGAATGCCCCGCATTTACCTCCTGCATCTTACGGCCTCTTTGGGCATTTTCCTTGCACTTTATTGGGGGTGTTGTGGGATTGTACAGGATGCTGAGCAGCTCTTTCTTGCCCTCTTCCGGCGTCTTTTGTTTCGGGAAGACAATGTTCTTGTCGAAGTATTCAAGCCACCGGGCCTGAACCGCAAGCAACGCCTCCGACAAATTTTCTCCGCACTGAAGCAGATCTTGAAGCTTAAGCTGTGCTCCATTCCTATATCCGTCCTCCGAGTAAGTTGCATAGATGGACCGGTGTGAAATCCCTGGAAATAGAGCAGGGTTCGTGCTCGGCATTACGGTAGTTCATTTATGCTGCCTGAAGAAACCTTTGCAGTTGTGCAGTGTGCTTGCTTGATTGCCTCAGCTCTTGGCTCATCGCATTTACGTAGCCTGCGTCACCCAGGGATGCTCAGCAGGAATGCGTCCTTTTGGCCTCATGGAACAAGATCAGGGTGGAGATCCTAATGGAGATGGCCCCAATGGAGATAGCAGTCACCCGGAGTATGCGGTGAGCATTCATCTTTTTCCTGCCTTCTGCGAGACAGAGCTCAATCCGCACGTATCCGCACATTTTCGAATGTCTTATGGATGTCTTATGGTGCCATTTGGAAAAATGTAAACTCTCCCCTGTTGCATCTGCTAGGATGCCGAATTTTCGTGATGACGCTGCTGCAGCACCTGGCACGGGATCGGACAAGAGTGTGCTTTACGCGGTACCCACGCCTGCATGTGGGGAACAAAGCGATATCGAAGGCTCCACTGGAACGTTCAGCTACGCCCCTCGGTAGTAACCAGCAGAAGCAGCCCCCTCCTAAAGACGAGCAAGCTTACCCCTTTTCATTTTTCTCCCAGCAGAAAGTGTCAGGAACAGAACGTCGGGGTGCGCATGGAGAAGACATTTTGTACGCTCGCGTGGACGGATCATCTGGTCTGCGACCTGCACAGTGAGGCTTCCCAATAATTGCATGCAAACTTGGCAAAGGGAGCGAAATAATTAATAGAGTTTTCAGTTGCCCAGTTGCAATCATATAGATAGCGATGCAAATCAGCTAACGCTGCAGATAGATGTGCATCTATCTGCAGCGCTAGCTGATTTGCGTCGCAGGGAACACGATGATATAATGTTGCAGCTACTCTTGTTCGGCAAAGGCCCCGCATCTCTCAATGGAGTGCTTAAAACTTGCTACATGAGCTGCTTGGAAGACCGTACGAGAAACCCGGCAACCTGGTAGGTAAATGCACTGTCAAGCACGGACCAGAAGTATCTGGCACTATGCCCGACGCTGGAGCTGGAAACCCTTGTTAACATTTTCTCTGTGTATGCTCTCTACTTACTGAAGTGTATAGTGGTGCCTCAGGAACTGCGGGACTATCGATTTCGAACCCGGTTTCTTCGTATATACTTAGGTTCGACGATCTCGTCGCAGACGTGCTTGGAGAACGTGGGAGTTTGCAGCACTTGCGGTTCCTTATCTGCATGTTGCGTCATTTCTTCACTTTGTCACAAAAGTCGCTGTTTATTGCCCTCGCATTAGGCGACTTCAACAGGAAACGCCATGCCCAGATCTTCATTCAAACAATGCGAGCGAAAGAGACTGAGGGAGAGGGTAGGTGCCTGTGAGTTCGTTGCATCGAGCTCTGCAGTACCTCTAGTCAATAAAAGGGAAGGCGCTGACTGATTTATATTTATATTGTAGAATGCTTAGCAAGACCATGCGCCTAACGTTGAGACCGCGCTTGTGTCATTTTGCAGTTTCACGGAAGTTGGCTCTTAAGAGGATGGTCAACAAAAGTCGAGAGCAGATGCCGGAAAGCACCGACGGTGACGCGCCATACTCTGGACAGCTTGCTTGACGTGCACCATTTCTCTGCTATAAACCCAGCTTTGCCACAGTATGTTAATCATCTGCGGACAACCATGTCTTTGCGGCTCCCTCAGATTACCTTGAATATGACTTCAATTCGCCTAGACCGTTTGACTTGACAATTGGTATCACCCGGTGCGAGGAATTCCTGAACTCCACTACCTGGACCGGTGCGCTTTTCTACCGAACGAGGGGCTTTCAATCTATCCACATGATGATGGCAACTAATCGCTCGTAAGTGTTTTTACTCCATTTTGCGACCCAGGGTCCGCTTTGCAACGCATGCGGTCACAACTCGACTACACTCTTGCAAAACAGATGCTAACAAGGGAGTGCCCAACTCGGGCTTGGCAACAGTCACCTGGTGAGTTGGCCAGCACCTACTAACTACCCTTAATACGCCACCTTGCTGCAGCCCTGGAGGGACCCTAAAAAGGGAAAGCACTACTAACTGTCCTTTGCAAAGCGTGACAGGGGGAAGTGAACAGGCTGGCGATATTGCCTTGGTGACATCCACCGAAGCTACTGCCCCGAAGCTAGCAGTGGTCCACCCCTGCACAAAGAATGTGCATGCGACTGTTTGAAGGCGAAGGTGATATAGTAGAAAGGGGAGGGGCTGATGATGCTTCGTCACCGAGGGCAAACGCGCCTCTTCTTCAAACCGACATCGCTTCCGTGGAGAAGAACTACTTAGAACTACCCGTTGTGGGAAAAGGCAACGTATCGGGTAGGACTACGTGGAAGAGCATGAGCACCGCAGCACGGCTCTCTCAGCTCCGCTTCGGTGGTAGCAAACAGCTCATTGCAAACATGCCTCCCAGTGCATACGGAGTAATGGGGAACATACTGAAGCCCGATCATGACTCGGAACTGGAGGCGTTCGGTTGCATCGAGTGTCTCCAGCCAGCAGACAAAGTCCCACTTCTTGGTGGCTGACATTTATCCGTATCGAGATTTTCAAGTAGTATACATCCGGCAGTGTCCCAAGCAGTCCTCAAGAGGCCAATGTACAGACTTGTGAGTGGCCTTGTCCGGCCCAGCGCCAAAGCACACAGGGTCTACTGTTTGTAGACAATTTCAGTTGCCCAGATGCCCTGGACTGGGCAAAAAAGCCTCGCGCTGCATTCGCCCACTCAGTTATACGGAGCGAGCGTCTGTTGATGAAACAACAAAGTAAGGAGTGAACAGGGTGCACTTCAAGAACTCCAAAGGCCAAGCACGACCACAGCGTGCATGGGTTTTTGAAGCCACAGATACTGACGGTACAGTACAGTACACTTGAAAGCAATACACTCGAAATTCATACGCCGCAATAGTTCAACCGATAAAAGGCAGTCAGATATCATTCATCGTCGTCTTGAACCACCACGTGTTTGCTCCAGTATTCTACCGAGCGTGCATACGCTTCGCGATCTAGGGAAACGCCACTGCCGCCCTCCTCTATAAGCGCGTTTCGCATGATCCTGAAACAGTACCAGCATCCGCATAAGATAAGGTGTTTGCCTTGCCAAGGGGAAACTCGCATACAATCTGGCCGTTCAATTCCGCGAAAACCGGAATTGAACAAGCAGAGCGTTTGACAATGTGCCGTTCTCTGGAGCCAAGCATCGAGTTCTACTTCAGCTGACGAAAATCCCTTCAGAATCATTTGACAGGTTAGGGTTTCTATATACAAGAGGTATTCCCGGTTAGAAGGCTGCTTACGTAATGGGATTCATCGGAAGCTCAAATGGTTCATCTTGCGCCTTGATCGCCACAATGAACCATTCAGGTTTTGATGCATCTGCGTTAAAAGATGGATTAGACCAAACAGTGCAACAGTGTGCAGCCGTCAAAAGTGAGGAGCACAGGATACAAATGCGGGAGCTGGTGACCTGATAGATAGACCGCTCACCGACGACTTCAACACACTTCGTCATGGCAGCATTCTCCTTGGCAATCTGCTCACGCGAATACAGAATAATGTCTGAAAGCACCCGCCAGAGTACGAAGATGTGGCCAAACTTGCATCATTCCCCTTTACAAGAAGCCTTCCGGAAAGGACGTACAACAAGCCAACCGTGCCAGTCACCGACACATGGCGCAGCTGCTACAATCAGCCGTACCCAGATATTTAGCGCAAACCAGTTGGTGCTGGACACGCGACGCCGGTAGCCACCGCGATAAAACCGGGAGTTCCTCTGGCCGCCGAGCGACATATCCAGAGCTACATCGCCAAGCAATTAACGCAATGCAAGGATGAAGACCATTAGAAATCTCTAATAGGACTGCTTTCGCAATTCCTGGACGAAAAGTGACCGTCCGACCATACTAAAGCTGTCGTTTGCCGCTTACCGAATAAACGGTGCGTTCTCTTCAGTAATTGGAAGGGTGGATGCTTTAGCTCCCGTAAAGTTTTCTACAAAGATGTGCTTACAGAATGGGGCATAGCCGTCCACTAGGGGAAGGCTCTTTTGCCGCAGAATCTCGTGGAGCTTTTGGACACACAACATGGAGCGCGGTCACCTCGGGTATTTGGGCCATTCTTGAGGCAGAAATGCAACTCCATTTGGCCTGGGAACGTGCCGCGAGCTCACCTCCTTAAGAAAAGTATCTTTATCCAATGGGATTTTCGTCCCTGCAAATTTGGGGTCGTCAAATTGTCTGAAGCAAAAGGGCTCTGCACCATTTGCACATCTCACGCGCCAAGAGCATTCTATAAGCAGTGTAATCCAGAGAAGCCCGCAAGCAAAAGCTATGCCACGCTCCTAATGTGTGCGCAGCTCCTGCTAAACTTATCTTGCTGCTGTTGAACTCACCCAGGCCCAAGGAAAGTACCCTTCCTGGGGCACTACTTCCGTTCGGTCGATCTTCTGATGCCATTGTCAATGATGATCTCGTGCAGTTTCTACTCAGGGAACTCTTACGACGCAGGAGAAGCCGTGTCTTCAAGCAGAGAGCCAAAAATCCCGTAGCCCCGGCAATCCGACCAATGTACATAGTTTATATACGCTACGGATATGCCAGTAAAGTCACTGGATACTAAGCAAAAAGAAGCAAAAACCGGGTATAAACGTTTTGAGGATGACTACACGCTAGCAACCAGGGGAAGTAGTGGGGTTAGGTATTTCTTCGCTGCGGGAGCGACGTAGGGGTTACTGCCCTGGACGTAATGTCTGCTTATTCTAGCTCCGTGCGAGAGCATATTTTAGCGTTAAAACGAGCTGCAACTAACCTTTGGTTAATTATTTGGGTGGAGAAGCCGAAAATTTATGGATACCACACACCCTTCTTGGGGCTGCCGGGGCGCCAAGTGGGCACGCCCCGCACCGCCAACTCTGTATATGCATGCTGTTCTGCTGCGTTCTCGCTTGGTGTTTGAGGCAAACAAAGCAAAGAAGGGTTCCCTGTTATAGTTAATTGTGCGGGTGCCTCGTTGGCGGGTTTACGTGTGGCCACAATGGCGTCAGCATCCGTCGCTAAAGCCCGCAGCCACATGGGGCGAGGCAAGAAGACCACCGCAGCAGGCAAGGCCACCAAGATCAAATTCGTTATTGATTGCCAGAAGCCTGTTGATGACAATATACTTGAGGCGAAAGGATTGGTAAGTGGTCCTGGGCAATGCTATATCTTCCACTTCTTGGGGAGCCCGCCGTGGCCATGCAGGCTTTTCCCCAGAGTTCCCTTGCGACGGCTGCCGCACATTTGCTTGTAAAATTCCCACTAATATCTGCTCATTCTTAATATACTGTTTCTGCTGGAGTTTTTAGGGGGCAGTCTGTGGATAAGTTTTTCACCCCACAGGCATTGTCCCCCCACTCGCTTCCATGCTTCGGCAATGCTCGTGAATAGAGTGGCTTGTATTAGATTGTGTATGGAATACCGGCCGCCTCCCACTGCGTGCGCAGATTATATAGAATCATTCACTGTACAGGGATGCGAACTAGAGCTCTGGAGAGCTCTGGGAGGAAGGGCTGTTCGTAGCTGCCGGCAGCATGTGGCTGCAATCCTGTGCTGCAGGAAAGGTTTCTCCAAAGCCGCATCAAGGTGGCGGGGAAGTTGAACAACTTGGGCGAGAAAGTTGAGGTGTCTCGGGAGAAGGCAAAGGTGTGCGTTACCGCTGAGCTGCCCTTCTCAAAGCGCTACCTCAAAGTAAGACTATGTGCAGGCGGTGGTTGATAGCATGTCGTGTCGCAGGCAAAAAAATGCCTGTGCGCTCCAGCTACGAGGCTTTCATGGATAGCTGGGAGAGTCACATTCAGGGAGTTTCATGAGTCACAAAACGCTGGGGGGTTAGCCAGGGGCAGTGCCTTTAGTTGGAAGCGGTTTCCTTCGTGAATGCGTATCCGGGTCCGTGTCTTCTGGTTTATGCGACCATAACGATATGGTATGGGTGTTGCGCTTGTGCAGTATCTGGTGAAGAAGTACTTAAAGAAACAGATGTTGCGCGACTTCCTGCGCGTTGTTGCAAACAACAAGACGTCGTATGAGTTGAGGTACTTCCAAATGCCTCAAGAGGATGAGGAGACAGCATAGACTAAGTCTATTGCTCCCGTCCACGAACAGTCATTTTGTTAACAAACACTCAAATATTTACCTTTAACGCATGGTGCGGACTCGAAAAGTCATCCCCGCAACGAGGTGAATAGCGCCGTAGAGGTTTGTGGCCCGAAATAGGCTCCCTCCCCTTAATGGATAGGAGTGTGAGGGGAGGCCATAGTGGCAGAGTTGGTTCGCAGGGCATTAGTGTGCAGCGGTTCATACTTCGCTGCACAGTTGGGTTCGCACAGGCGTGAGTTTCGTCGCCCGTGTACGTGGTTCGGCCATCAATTTTTTCATTGTACGCATCACCCATCACAAGTTCTGCAGCGCATGAAGCAACCACACGCGAGACCTAATTTGCCTAGCCTTGGTACATGGTAGGAGGACGTTTCAGGTCGCCATTGAGTAAGGACCGTTAGGGTAGCCCACGACCTTTCAGTGTTCACAGAAATAACACGGCCTGTTTCCCTCTTGTCAAAGCATTCCTGTTTCCATGGCCTGATTGCAAGCGGAGTTTCTCCACCTAACACCCAGCGACGTCGTGGCAAGTTTGCACCTTGCGCTCCCTGTGGTGGGTGAACAAAAAATATCCGCTCCCCATCGTGGGTGATTGTTTGAGAGTTGGCAGCCTGCTTCTCACAGCAGTTACTTGAAAGAATGTGGGACATCCTGCACCGTCGTTGGGCGCTTGCAGATGACTTCTTGCTGTCCCGGCGGGCGACTTCGTCCCGAAGGGAACGTCTGCGACAATCAAGGACAGGAAACGGTTGCGAGGAGAACTCGGGAAAGCTGCACAGCAGCGCTTTGTGCGTCAAAAGGCTTATTGTTTCTAGGTCAGATGATGAGCGACGCAGCTCGGAGGTTGGCCAGCGTTTCGAGCCTCTGTAACATGGATAGGTGTAAAGATACTTCCCCTAAAGTAACGAACTCTCTTCAAGAAAAAGAGTTACCTTCTGCTCCCTCAAGGTGCAATTCATGTGAGGATCTAGCGGGCAGCGTGTGTGTGGCGTGTACAGACCCCTCTGAGGACCACATAGAGGCGGCAGAACACCGTTGCAGAGTGGGCAGAAGACCCCAGTGATGTAGTGCTCGCTTTCTTGCTTCGTAGTAGTTTTACATAATACATTAACCTGATTTTATTTGGCAGAGCTCTTTGTTCTTGGCTAGACGGCGAATTGGAAGGACTAACGCAATGCACACATCAGAACCATTTCGCCCACTCATGAGGAAAGCGGCGAGCCTTACCTGTCTTCTCCGTAAGAATATAATTTTACTCACAATTATTTATTCTACGGACCCTTATATTTTCGGATCGCAACCCAGAACACACATTCATTCTGTGGACACTGCTTCGTTGCGAGGCGTCCAACAGTTGGGACCTACACCAACCGCTGTTGAAGCTGCAGCTGAACAGAAGAGACGGTCAGCAGTTTGGATTGTACCATTCTGATGACAGATCAGAAGTGGAACCCCAGAGCAAGAAGCAGTTGGGGGGCTCACTCACTACTAACACTGCTTCTGCCAACCCATATAAGGTGGCAGCACAGCCTACATTGATGTTCGATTTGGCGAAGACGCCGTCGAATGGCCCAGAAGGGCCATCCACTGGCGTTGGAGGGAAGACTTCGTGGCCTCTGAAATTCCCAGATGGTATATTGAGCACCAGTTCTTTGGGTGTGTTGTCAGCAAGCGTGCTGCCCAAACCAGCAACGCCAGACACACACGAGATTACTCCCAAACAAAAAATGCCAGACACACACGAGATTACTCCCAATGTCCCTGACAACAAGCGGCCTGCTTTGTCATTCTTGGTAGACACAATACAGCTGCCCTTGGTACCTGGGCTCAGAGTGCCACGGGAACAATGGACTTCTGATGGGGCAATTCACAGCATCGAGCAGGCTGCAACTCCAGCCGAAGATGAAGAGCTACAAAGAAGAGATGGCTACATAGTTGGGGAGGAATATAGTGGCCCCGAATTCCAGCCACCGGAGCAGGTTCAGTTGGAGGAACCCCCCTTATTTGCCATGCAGAATGTTTCCCTGCTGCCTCCGCAGGCGAGGAAACCGATCAATATGGCTGTCCGTCAATTTACTGCCCAAATGCAAAGAGCAGCCGTGGAGTACTGTACAGCAAACAACTTGAACTGTAACGAGCAGCATGCTTTGGAGACGGCAATATCGGTGGCGCTCAGAACATCGCCGACCGCATCCATGTTCAGACAGATCTCAGCGTCGCTCAGTGCAGTAGAGGTAATTCGATAATGAAAGTCACGTTTGGCTCGATATTAACTTGAGAACAGGGGGCAATTACTAGTGCCCTTCGTCCCTTAGGCTGGCCCGTTGATCCGAGGTCACCAGAGGCGCCGAATCCTCCACCTAAGCCGCCGGTGCAGACTACACAGGCTGTACAATTCGCTTTCTCTCTTGTAGGGACTGCAGTTGCTCTTTTGCGGAGCTTCATTCACATCACTAAAGGTCCCAAGCCGCTTATTACACTGGATACGTACGTTCCCAGATTTACATGGGCTCCTGCGGGAAGTTAGACTGAGGATCACGCTGCTGCAGGCAGCTGCATGAACACCATCGCAACATACTTTTGAGTTTGTTGTACAGTGACCGAGAAGTAGAAGGCTGTTCAATGACAGCGCCAATGAGGCATTCTTCAAAGTGCAGAAGCTTTGCCATTGAAGTTCCAGCAAGAACGGACAAATGCTCAATGCCCTCCAACATCCACGGTAGCCTGAAAGTTAAGTCCACTGTGCACATCAAAAACCCAATGCTTCTGCACAGACGTTCCCAGTTCGTTAACGGTTCACGGCTTTGAGCTTTCTTGCCGCTCCTCCCTTCGCTGCTCTCAGCACTACAATGCACATCAACCTTTTCACCTTGACGGCAGATATATCTTGAGGCAAAATTTCGACGGTTCACCTTCCTTCGAAAAACTGATGTCTGAAGGCCAGAGTCCCCCCGCTTTCCCAACGGGAATCCTTCACCTCTTCCAATCTGAGAGCAAGACCAACAGCGAAGCATTGAAGTCTGCAATGGCTGCAGTCAGCGCTGCCCCGGTACAAACATCCCACTGATGGCATATATTGAAGCCATATGAATAACTAATTGGGAAAGTGCAGCACACAGATCGTGTGGCATCTCCACTCGCCTACCTGCCGATTCTGCCGCAAGGGCCTTTTGTTTACCAGCACAGCAGCAAACCAAAAGAGTGTCAGGACCCCAACACATTCTCTTTTCCACACTGCCTCTTACACGGCTCATCATATTGGCGCTTTACTGAAGTTCGTCCAGATTCTGGGGACACGATGAAGTACTTCCCTGCCATTGTCTCAGTAAGACGCGTAAATACATATACACAGGTGCACTGCATTAGCTGAACGGGCCAAAAAGTTTCACGCAGAATGCGACGGTTAGCACGCACGCGCCATTTTGTTCTAGGGTCCCATGACCTCGGCAACGCCGCTAGCTGCAGTGTCTGCGACACAACACTGATAGCTGACTTGTGTTTAATGGTCCACGCCGTTTTAAAATGAGCTTTTGAAGGAATACATACTGTTTCAAGAAGCGTCAGCGGTGTGCCGCCAGCTGCGATCATAAGCAGCATCGCCATCATCAGCAGGGTAGCCGATGAAAAAACCAAATAATTGCAATGGCTTGGTTTGCTGCCATGATGCGCGCCAAGCTGTATCCCTGGGCTAACGCAATGAAAAAATGGGAGGTGGGGGTAGGGGTGGATGTAGGGGGGGCCAGACGTGGGGAGAGCATACTTATCGAAGGGCTCAGCGCTACTGCTCAATCCCGCTGGCGGGTCCTGAGCACGATGTTGCTGGCCACCATATCTTCGGGTAGCCAGCGCACTTGCTAACTACATTGTTTGCCAAATTTAGCCTGGTAGTCCAAAAGGCCGGCCTTGATCGCTGTCTCGTCCCAGTACGCGACGGGGCGTCGAGTGCTGACCAAAAAATTAACCTTCCGCAGGTCGAGACCAACGCAGAAGCACAAGTACGCGCTGACTGCTGCAACGCTTCGTCCCACTCCAGCGTTGCAGTGAACGTACACAATGTGGCCGTTCTGAAGCCACACATCCGCACGGGTTCAGGCAGTAGCCAACAACGCTATGAACGCACCAGCTCAGGCTGCCTATGGGGAGACAGAGGGTATGTATACTCGCATTACCTGCGTTAGGGCGTCTAATACTAGTGCACAGTGCGCCACTGCAAGCTTGCGGCACGCGTCGCTCATGTCCTCTGTCGGCATCCAGACGTATCGCAGACCAACGGATTCGTAGAGCTGGCCTACTGCTTCTGGTGTCCTCGTGCTAGAAATGGGATCAGGGAAGTTGACTCTAAGCAGCAGCATGCACAACAGCAGCAGTCAAGCCACAACTGCCATAGGGATGCGGGCATTCCACAAAGAAAAGCAGATTGCATCTCTCCTCCATAATGTGTCCGTTTTCCTGCACTCCACAGGCAGACTCTATGCGCTTGCTGGCGTTTTTGCTTACTTGATATCTTCTGCAGTTTGGAGGTTGAAAACTGCAGTCACTTTCAAGTCTTGGCTGAGCTGACGGATGTGTTTGAGCTGGCGGGGGCATGAGCCCACATACAGGTTGGGCAGAATGCGCGAATAGTGCATGCGCCCTTCGGCCTTGACAGCATTGTAAAAGCGCGTTGTGTGGTCGTGCTCATTCGCATTTCCAGCTGCGATGATCGCAGGCAGCTGCAGGGGTAAGGATGAGCTCCAGAGCTCAGTATCAGAACACATGGGTAGATATAGCCAGCCACACTACGGGCAATTTTTCTACATTGCTGCGCCAAATCTCGCCACGTCAACTGATACTGTCCCCTATGCGAACCCTGATTACTTTGGCATGTGCAGACAACGTACCTTCTGGATCCTCGAACCTTGCGATCTTGCAGAGATAAAGCATTTCGAGGTTCCCGCTTTCGCACTCATCCACCACAACATCCAGGGGGTCAAAACAGAACCTCCTGTTGCTGTTCGGACCACTTCCCTCCCACACAACCTGTGTGGCATGTGAAGGTGGCTCTGCGCGATGAGCGGGAGGGGGGGGAAACAACCAAGTGCGCCAAGTACACAGCGGGCTACCGTACGCAACGCACTGAAAAGACTCTCCTGGCGTGTCCGGCACGTAGGGCGTAACAGGACTTCTCGGGGTCCACAAAATAAATTTGTATTCGAATTGAACCTTTTTGAGGGGGTGGCTCTCGAGTATGGCAATAATTTCCGGTGACTGTTGATCAATTCGGCAGCTAGCGGCCGCCGCGACACTAGACGTTTCATCGTTTGTTGGGCAGTGCATATCACGTAGACATTCTGAGCACGAGCCTCTACGGGGTGAATATTTTCTGGCCACTGCGGCGATGAGCCGATCTGCAAAGGAGTCGCAAGCACTGTTGGACCCGTTGCGTTGTTCAATGCTGCAATTACTTCCCGTGGCCGCCGACGTCCCACAGCCTTCCAGGCCCTGCACATCTACTTCTACATCTGCAAACCAGAGGCTCGGCTCCACCCCGCCTTCAGCCGGTGTGGTATAGGGTAGCAACGGAAGACACCGAGAGGGCTCCCAGCGTCCTAGGAACTCAGGGCTCCCCGACACTCCCAATTGGGAACCTGGAGGCACAAAGGCCACGCAGCTAAACCGCACTCGCATCGAGTTGGAAGCCTCGTGAAGGGCATATATAGATAGTGCCTCAAAAACTGCTTGCAACCTGATGCAATCGTCGTGTCTCGCCCACAGCAACGACGTTATGCCGCACCACGACCTTGCAGCTCCTCCACCAAGATACTGAAAATTTACGCGACTGTCTCAGTAACATTTAGAGAAGATACGGTTGCATGCAGAAGCACAGCTCTACCATCAAGGCCAATTGGCTCACTAAAACAAGCACAACTACGACGGGATTCAACGACGCTCGAGGTGCACTTATCCGTCTGCTCGAGAGTGAGGAGGAATTTTCACGGAGTAGCTGTTCGACACCCAATTGTTAGCAGAAGCCAGGCTCACCTAGCCCTGCGCCAGCCGCCGAGACGCTCGCCGCAGCCCCTACAGTATGCGCTGCAGAATTTGAAGGCGGCAGACGCAGAAAGTACCTGAGATGTAGTTTTATTGCTCTGGTGCTTAACACAGTCAACTTGTTACGACGTAATTGTATTGCATCATTGGGGGTCTTACACTTTTTCGCATTAGCCCGCATACGGGGGGCTTAGTGGCGACCGTTGCCGACCGATCGGGAGTTCAGGGTCGGATTGCACTGCGTTAGACGTATAAAAAGAATTCCAATATAACTGACCTATTGCAAAGGCCGACATAGAGGAGGACACTCCGTGGCCGTCTTCTGTTGGTGGGAGGTAGTCCTGCAGAGTGTGTGCACTACGGCTCGCCGGATGCTTGACAAGCTGCTATTTTGCAACTCGCATATGTCATGTGCATCACCGTTAGCTCCTTCGTTTTCGTTTCTTTTGCATCTCATGTAGAGACGCTAACATGTCACTAGACAAATAATAAGAGTAGCCGCCCGCACCAGCCCGATGGTCCCGCCCGGCACGTCGCCCTCATCACTACTACGAATTCACAACAAGATCTCCTCCTCCTTGCGGCTATGGGTTGTTTAGTGAAAATACGTTGCTGCGCTTACTAGGTGGCTCGTCTCCACGCAGGATGGTGCGAATATTTTGTGCTCATTACGCTCACACTAGATATGGGTAATGTGCACACAGGCGAAGACCACTATTTGCACTGCTATAGGCTCCAAAAATGGAACACCTCGTCCTGCGTATGTATGTCGTGAGCGTACTCTGAACTCAGGAACCTGCACAGTGTCTCCTCCAGACACCCTGTTATGTGCAGCCCAACCCAAGTGAATGGAGTTATTTTCCCTATGGCGACAGATCGTAGGCGTTACTCGTCCATTGCTGGGGAAGCTGCCGTGGTACTCTATGTTGCCCGACCCAGGGTGGTATTGCCTACTATCTACTACATGCCCCCAACATTCACTCTGGTCACTAAAGGAGAAATGCTCGCCTACGCGGGGTCCTAGGAGCAGCATTAAGACAGGCAGCGCACCGTCTTCGGTGAATGGCCTCCGCTGCATACAATTAGAGTGTACTGCTCTTCACACGAAACCACACCCTAAGAAGGCACCAGGCAAAGCGCCCTCAAGCAGCCTGCCAGCGGCCGGTATCCATCAACCGATGAAGGCTGACCCTTCCCTCAACAAGGCATATCAGCGCCTTCTCCCGTTCAGATGGGCAGGGCATACGGGCTTGTTGGCAAGCGGCTGTGAGGATAGAAAGCCCCTCAACCAACACCAGGAGCTTTCTACAAGATCTACAAGCCTCCCTACCACACACGGGTAGAAGGCTCTTCCTATGCAGCTGGGTGGGCCCTCTTACTGTGGGGGGGAACTCGGAGCCCTGAGGTTGCGCCTGTCCCAGCTGGCAGCTAGACCCCGCGCCGTCTTTCTCCCTGGCCCACAGGGGAAGCCTGAAGCGGACGCTCTCTGAAGGAACGGCGGGGAGAGGGACTTCTTTCCCGGCGATTTCGGTTACGTTGCTGCTGCTCCTGTTGCTGCCTCTGGTCTCTTCGGGCCTCCAGGGTCGAGAGCCACTGCTGCCGCCTCTGCTCCCGCTTCGCAAAGTTCAAGGCACCCTTCCGTCCCTCCGACCCCCCCGACGCCGCCCCCGATTCATCGCTTGCTGCGTTATTGCTGCCGCTGCTTTGCTCTTTGCTGTCCCACCGGCCCCTCTTGTTGGTCGACCCGCAGGCAGGCTGAGCCACGAATCCGTTAGCGGGCGAATCCTCTCCAGCTCCTGAAGACGGCGTATCTGCAGTGGCAGCCTGAATGCCAGCCACCGCCGAAGCAGCTGCAGCCCCGGCAGCAGCTGCAGCAGCAGCTGCAGCTGCTGCAGCTTTTGCTATGGATGGCGCATTCGACGCTAGCGAACTTTCCATCGCATCTACTCGGCAGCCTGTATCAAATCTGCGCGGACAAGATACAAGCAGGCAAAACAGATACCCCCCGGATTATTCCCTGCCATTCATTTGTGAGAACCCCACAGAAACGTGCCAACAAACAGAGAGCCAACTCAAGAATACCATCTTGCCCACCCCAAGCCTCCGAAGGAAGTATTTTGTTGCTGCCTGAGCTCCCTGCCAGCCTTTCCTCCCTGCCAGACCACCCGCAGGCCTGAGAGCCGTGCCTCCCTGAAGGGCGCTGCAGAAACAAAATAACGCTAGAGGACGTCTAGAGATGCACAGGAATCCATCGCGAACCATAGCGCAACAGCTTTCCCCTAACACTCACGAAAGCCCCAGGTGCAGAACAACCAAGCCAGCAGAACAGCTGTCCCTCCCGGTGTCACATCACCCAAGCGGCAAAGCAGCAGGAGAGCAGAGGTGTCTGGGGCGGTGGGGCAGAACGATAACCGATGAGACCTAATCTGCCCGTCATTCCGGGCCACCTTGAAGAGAGTCAAGTGCAGACTGTAATTGTGCTTACGAAACTGCATGGCGAACTCCAACAAGGACTGTGGGACATATTGTCCGGAAGTCTGAGGAAACCCCGGCGCAGCCAATGGAGTTCACCACTAAAGCGCGGGAACCGCGAGCACAAACTGACTGGCGTTTCTAGATTAAAATGTGAGTTAACTTTCAACCCCCGCGCACCCCTTCCCCCCCAAAGTCAAGTAATCTCTAGAGGAAGTACCAGCTGGGGGCACAGATACAGAGATTATATACTAACCTCCATCTTCTCCACGACAAAGGCCGCTTGACGCTTTTCTTGTTTCGTCAATAGAGAGCAAGCGAGGCCCGACCGGCCAGCTCTGCCTGCGCGGCCTACGCGGTGTACATACGCCTCGGGATCATGCGGAGCGTCGTAACAAACAACTAGAGAGAGCGCAGGAGGAAAATCGAGTCCCCGCGCAGCAACGTCCGTCGCTACCAGCACCAATGGGGTCCGAGCGGAACCCGAGTCGCCCAAAAAGTGGTGCTGCATGCGACGCATCACGGCAAGGCGTTCAGCCTGCTGCATCCCGCCGTGTAGTATTGCCACGTCTGAGCAGCAGCAGGACAAGTATCAGCAGCAGCAATGCAGCACCAGGAAAGGCCAAAGAGACTCTGAACCCTAAACATCCGATTCATCGGCCCCAATAATGTATATAGAGACAAGCAATACAAGCACAAATGCAGCATTTGCATATCCCAGCGCCAACCAGAAAAGGCAAAATAGGCCAACAAGGGCTGTCAGGTAGGGTAAGCAGTGTATCACTGGGACCGCCACAGTCCCCGCCTGTGGAGAGGCAAGAGAGTGAAATCACAAAACCGAAGAAGAGGCATCCTATAGTGCAACACACATAGAAACGAACATGGGCGGATAGACAAGCAGAGAAAGCGCAGCACCAACACAGGGAACATCGCACACTCAGCCAAAGGCGAGCGCAGCTGAAGCGTCCCTCTGGCTACAGACCAGCTTGCTGGCAAGGAGAGCATGCGAATGCCAGGATGAAGAGACGGCCAAAGAAACATTCACCCCCTCACCCCCTCTGTTATACAGGTCACACTTACACTTGAACGTTTGGTTGGCGTTCTTTCGAAGGTCTTGTGAACTTTCGCCTCCTAGGAGACGAGCAGCTGCTGCTCGCGACGCGGCGTCTCCCGCTGGCGCTGTTGCTGTTTCTGCTGTTGCTGAACCATGTGCTGCCCGTCCATCAGCTTCTACTAGTTGCGCGAGGACCCCTTCCAGCAGAAAGGCCAAGTCTTCCACTCTCTGCTGCGAGTTGCAAAAGACGACGCCTCCTGCTGCAGCGGCTTCGGCCACGGTCGTAGGCGGCGGCCGTAAGCCGCACTGCTGCTGCTGCTTTTCTGGCTGCTGAGACAACGCAAGAAGCCCTAGCAAGTTCTTGGAGAGCCAGTCGAACTTCGCCTGCTCTCCGTCTAATATCTGGACCCTTTGCTGAACCGTCTGCGTGGCCTGACGCGGAGTCACAGGTAAACAGCACCTCGCAAATCAAAAAGGAGCAGCCCTCCAACACTGAGGTAGTTCGTTCAAGCTACACCCCAGTCAATGCAAGTGTGTGTGCAGATAGCGTGGTGTGACTAAGCCAACGCAACGCCCACCCCACCCGGGCACACACCTGTCCTCCCTCACCAACGACGATACGAATCGGGTTACGAAGAAATTTGCTGCAGACCAGAGACTCAGACGGGCTACCATGCAGAGCGTTTGTTCGTTTCGGTGGGCTTCGGGCCTCTACCCAACAAAACGGGAGACGCCCGCTGCGCGACGCCAGCAGCCGTATGCAAGCGAGAAGAAGATGAAGGAATCGCTTCTGTTGCTACTGCTCCTGCTATTACTATTACTCCTTACTTGGCAAGGGCCTCACACTTGCGAGGCATGGTCGCGCTGAACATGCAGGTGACCCTGTCAGGCCTGAGGGATGAGAGAACATCTCTCAGCTGGCTCTCGAAGCCCATCTGAACCATCTTGTCGGCCTCATCCACGACCGCCATAACAACTTTATGGAAAATACCACCGAGACCTTTGAGGCTGCACACGTCTATCATGCGCCCTGGATTGCAGACCACAATGTCGGGACCTCGTCGCAGCGCTCGAAACTGCTCCGTCTTGTCGAAGCCTCCGGCCATCAGCAGCCGACTCACATCCAACTCCGCCCCCCCACGAGAGAAGCTGTGGATCTCCCCATCCACTTGCACAGCCAGTTCCCTAAAAACCAAATCCCCCAACAAACGCACACCAGGTCACCGAAGGCCCAAGGCCAACTGGAAGCCGCTATGTTTCTTATCTTACTGTGCGGAAACGCAAAGCTCAATGCCCCCATACTGTCAGCCAACAAATCCTTACGGCCCATTCCCTTGCTAAGATGCCATGGCCATTCTGGAGGCATGCATCCCACAGTGACGCACCGGGTAGGGCACACTATGACCGCTGAAGGCCCCGCCCGCTGATCCTTCGCAGGCGGTTGCTTTGACGGGTCTTTTGGTGTTGCTTGGCAGGTGGTCCACTGGTCTTTTTCCTTGAGGCTGACGACGCGTGTCAAGACCGGGATGAGGTACGCGGCGGTCTTGCCACTGCCTGTCTGCGCCACAGCCAGGCAGTCTCTGCCCTTTAATAGAGCCGGAATAGCCGCCGCCTGCACGGCAGTGGGCAGGCGGTAGTCCCGCCGCTGCAGAGCCGTCCACAGGCCCTAAATGCAAAACACAAGCACCAGGATCACAAGCATCGCCGCGACGACCGGCAAACATAAACCAGCAGCAACACCGTAACCATCCGTCACCAATGGCTTAACGATCCCCTGTACAAGATCCAGCGCCAAGTATGACTCCCACAAAGTCTTCAGCGTCAGCGGTCAGAGGGAGGCAGCTGCTGAACTGAGGGGAGGGTAGAGATGGGATAACAGGCACTTTCCATGAGCCACTGAGTCGATAATGGTGAGTCCCATGGACCCCCATGTGAGAGTTCACATAACGGTAATTTACACGGCTGCTGCTTGTACTGCTGCTACTGCTGCTGGTGCGCGTGCGCGCTTCCGACCTTGGGTATGGAATCCTTAAGGTGGAGGAAGGAGGCAATCGGACGGGGAGCCTGTTTGCCTGTGGTGTGGAGCTGCAAGGAGTCGCGGACCTTCGCAACGGCCTCCAAGGTGAGGGCTGTGACGTCTGGGTGTTCTTTGTATAGGTCCACTGTGTACGGGGGATACATAATCCTGTACAGAACCCAGCAGCTTTACACGCATGACTGGAGCGATAAGGCGTGCCCAACGGCAAATAAATTACTACTGGGAGGCACTGTGAAGGCTTTAAGAGGTATTCCTAATACGCTCAAGCAGTCAAGAGCCTAGGGGATACGGAGGCCTACTCGTCATGGTCGACTACAGGAAGAGAACGGCCACGGGCCTCATCTTCGTCGTCTGTTGCTGCGCTATGGCTCTGCGTCTGAGCCTTCCTCTTGCCTCTGGCGGCCTCTGCCTGTTGCTGTAGACAGCATGCGCACGCCCATACGCACACACAGCCCAATTGGGGATTACGAAAAAACCCAAGGGCTGAGTCCTACGACTGCGGCCTCTTGACCGCTCAACACATACTGAAAGGGCTTTCTGGGCATTGAGGTGCTCTATCGACTCCGCTGCGATGTCCTCGTCGTCGAAAAAACGTTCTTTATCCGTCTGCTGTACTTCGCCTGCTGCTTCCCTACGCTGCTTTTCTTCGAGTTCCGCCTTTTCGCGAACAAGGGTTTCATTCAAGCCCGCCATAAAAGCGTCAAGAGGGTCCACCTCGTCATCCCCCTGCGGCTGCAGCTGCGACTGCAGCTGCGGCTGCTGAGGCGGCAGTAAAGGGCGTTGGGGGGCTGCGGAACCCCTGCCCTTCTGCTGGAGCTCAAAATATGCATCCATACCTGACATATACCGTATGCGGGCCTTGGCCACTTCTGAATTCTGCTGCCGCTGCGGTTCCTACTGTTGTTGCACTTACTTCTTTGGCTACTGTCGCTGACGCCGGTTGAACTGCTGCTGCGAAAGCCATGCGCTACTGCGGCATGCCCTCTCGAAACTACAAATTTGTCGGATAAGCAAGAGCTCTGTATAGCGGGCAAGGGGCCAAAATTGTGTTAAAGTTGCCACCCGTCAGCAGTCGCTCAGGGTCAGTGTAGAGCTATTGCCACTGATGTTGCTTGAGCTCCAGTGCCCCAGCAGTTGGGGAGGAGTTGCCGAAAAAAATGTCCAGAAAAGCAAAGAGAAGCCGCTGCTCTGTGCAGATATGGGGGAGCTAGAGCACAGCTCCAGCTCTCCCGTCCCCGTGTCTCGCAGAGTCGCGCAGATGGCAGAAACAGTCAGCAAGGAAGGTCCCTGTTGACCAGCACGTGCGGCTCTATATTCTCTGGCCTTGCATGCCTCTACATTTGTTTTAAGAGAACCGGCAAGAGCTGCAGACGGTGGCTTGGTGTGCATGCAAGCGCTCCCAGGGCCCAGCCCCGCCTGCGGTGACTGGCCTTGTTGGCCGCTTTATGGGTTCATGCTCAAGAGCTGTTTTTAGTGCATCCCTGGATCTCAACTGCGCACAGCAGTTCCTTCGGGAGTACATTTGGTAGGCCCTCCTCTGCGCATCAGCTCCACGGCGTGTCGCAGGCAGCCTCGAATGGAGTGGAGCAGAAGGCCCCCGACAACCAACGCTTTAGGAGTAAACCAGCAGCTTACACAGTTTCCTATGCATAGGGAAGGTTGCTGGCGCGGGCCCGCGTCTCCCGGTATCTACAGTATGGCTAACCCCCTGGCCAGATCGATGGGTAAGCGTGTAGGCTGTACGCACTCCGGTGCGGCCGCAATCTTGAGTGCTTGCCGGCAAGGGAAAATTTAGACATCATTTCGGTCGAGAGTAGCAGAGGAGGGTTACGTTTAGGCGCCACTACGGCTGGGCCTGCGTCTACTCGGCGCAGCTGTCTCAGCAGAGTGGGATCATTGCCCAAGGCCTCCGCCAGTTGGCAGGGTTTCACAAGAAGCACACTACCTGCTGGTGCTGCCTGCAGCACCTTCAGTTGGGGCTAAATTGTGAGAACGGAAGAGGCCCCCGAACCTGAACCCCAGTGCTGTTACGTATGCACTTCCGTAGATACTACTAAGCGGTTAAGAGCAAAAGAACTATTCTGTTTTTAGCGATCCTCAGGAACGAAAGAGAATCTCCCATGACTTCACTTCCTCCGGATGCCCCAAGGGGAGTTCATTACCCTGACGCTGTCCCGCGGTAACCCCGGGTGCCTGGGGCGGCAGAAACATCTTCATTACCATCATGGACAGAACCGTTCGGAGTGCTCGTTGCTCCGCACAGCTGGAAAAGCAACTCTTCATTCTCTGCATGTCACGACGGCACTCGACTAAGTAGTCGAGTGTCGTCGTGACATGCAGGGAAGCTGGAAGGTGGTCACTACATTCAAGCTGCCTTTCGCACTTGGGAAGTCTTGCTGGCGTAATTAGTTTTGAAGGCCTCCAGCTCCCGCTGCAAGCGCTCTAAAAACTCATCATCTGCGTCTTCGTCGTCCCATCCTGACCAAACAAAGCAGAGGGGCACATGCTCACAGAGGCCTCTGTAAAGCAGACGAAGGCAGGCGCTGCACCCTGGAATACAATAGTTAAAGAGAACTCTCAGAGAATAGCGAAAAGAATCGTGTATGCATTTGACTGGGGGGGGGGGATGGCACCCGCTGCGTCCCAGTCTTCGCTCCACTGCTTCACTTCCGCATCCACGGGCACCTCTCCCCCTGCGCAGTCACACAAATACCTAAATTCCTCCCCAGTGGTGAAAAATCCCACATATATATGTTCCCTCCATACTCATTAATATGAGGCAAAGTCGACACTCCAGTCCACTGTAGCGGGGCCATTGTGAAGGTTGGTCCGCATGTTCCATGGGCCAGGCCATCGCGTGGCTATATCTCTTTCCGTCCCCTCGAACTAACGGAAGTCCAATTCACGAAATTTTCGTGCGCTGCCTTGGCTCAAACCTTGGAAGGTCGGCTTCATGTCGGGCACGGGCAGTTGGCAACGACGTTGTGAACGACAGATGAACTTCAAGCGGGAGCGTACGGCTACTGACCTATCTCGTCGAATTCCTCCAGTTCGTCGTCAGGCTCATCGAAGGCCTCTTCATGTGCTTCTGTAGCTGTCTGGTGGGGCGAAGCGTCGGTGCGCTGAGGCTCCTCCCCTCCTTCACCTTGGGGCTTCATTTCAGGGGCTGCAAAGCATAGGGAGCAAAAGCAACAACCGATAATCGGAAGTAAATAAGCAGCAGGGGATGTAACGGCCTTCCAGGCAATTACGATAAGGCAACTACCAATACAAAAACGATGAGAAGACGGCTATTGGGGACGCCGTGGCCCATTGGCTACTTGTATTGTTCTGCATTGCACCCGACAGAAAACGGGAAGCTCGGTGCCTTCACAAGACGCAAATGATCCCCATGCCAGCAAGAATGACACAAAGTTGCAACAATAGGTTTTGCTGGCCCCGCTAGAGCAACTTGCAGCGCTACACGTGTCACCCAAGTAGGGCTGACCTTGGATCGAAAAGATATGCCAAACTGGTCGCGTTGACGCTCCTACTTTGTAATACGTTATTTATACTGATATCGCAGTACAACACTATTTATAGCTCAACCACCCTAGACAGTCAACAGCCGCAGCCCCAACCGGGGCCCTCCAGAATAGTCAGCCAAGATGCAATGTGAAGTGTAGTCATTGCTCCTATATTTGACTCTGTTGTTGTTGGTCGAGCACTTTGTTAGTAAAGACGTGATTCTGAGTGTAACGTACGGGGAGCTTTGCCGTTAAATGCTATTTTTGGTCGTTGGTATTGTGCTGGTGACGAAGGCTGGGTTCGTGGATCCACCACATGCGTGCTTGCATCACTAGTTTCAAAGAACGGAGCTTTGAACACTCTGTCTTTATTATTTAGATGCTGTTCGATACAGTTTTGCGCCATATTAGAAGTGGTTGCATCTGATTAAAGGAGCTGCCGGGGAACCGCAGCGCACCGTAGTCTTTCAGGGTGTAGTCGTACCTCTTCGACTTCAATTCATTTTTCATTCTGTCCTGCTTTTCTGTGTAACATTGTTGAGGTTATCTTGTACAGAGCTTGTTCCGAGCTTGGTCCAGTCCCCGGTCCTACCCCACACCAGCTACCCAACCCCCAAAGGCGCTGTTTCTTGCGTGGAGATGCATAGGTGCATATTTCCCTCTCATTTCCATGGACTTCAAATATGGCATCCGCTACACGCTTTGGAGTTATTGTGCACACATGTTTTCACCAAATACTTGGAATGGGATTGGCTTCGACCCGTAGTTGTGCATCCAGCTGCGCCGTCGCTACTCTCTGTTCCCTTCGTAGGGATCTTCAACAATGATTACTCTTTAATTGGCAGCAAAAGATGCCGAGTTGCCGATGCAGGCCCGGGTAGCAGATAAAGAGAAGGCAGGATGCTTTCAAGGGTTTGAATTAGCGCCATAGTTTCAGCTACGAGGAGCAGCACGAGCGTCAGCTCGTATCGCTAAAGCATAGGACAGTACACTAACGGATGCAATATATTTATTGACTGCACACAATTTAGTACTCTTCTAAGCTTGAAAAGTGGAGTCTCCCCCAGGCTTCTGCAGTGATAGTGTTGCAATACTGAGTGGAGATTGATTCATATCCAAACCAGCAGCCGCACGAACTTCTCATCTCTCCCTTGCTGCAACTCTGTGTGGCACTGGAGCAGTACGGCAGGCCGGGACAAGATTCCATTCAGGAGCTCCCCAATAACATCGGCCAAAACGCCTGCATCTGCACATCCTCTAGAGGGGCAGGTTTTCTTCTGCCTGCGCAGAGTGGCAGCAAAGGGTAGATGAGGAGTTCATCACCGAGGACCATCTAATTTATGGTTGAACGTGCCCATGAAGTGTGTTTGGAAATCGTCACTCGTTTGCGTTGGCATATCTAGACTTTTTGTGACACTTTGACCTCTGTTCCCTTCTAACTTTGGAAATGGCTAAGCAGTGCAACTACACGTCTTCCCAACTAGGCTTCTCTTCTTCTATGGGAAGACGTTTGACTACGTTACGGTAGGAAGAGCTTGTGTCGGCGCTGCACGTAGAATTGCCAGGCTGTCCCCAGGTGTCTTGGCCTTACGGGCCTGCTTTGCAGCATGTTCAGCCTGCATTTCGCCTCTTCTTCCAGTCGTACGCCTCCCCCCCTCCAAGGTCCTCTGCACCGCGTAGACGTGTGCATTAGTGATTCACCATGAGCTGAGACGTGAAAAGCTGAGCGCACATCTAAACTTCGTTGCAGGTCGACAATGCAGATGACACCGCCAATACATCTAAATTTTCTACGGATTTCTATTTTGAGCACCCGAGATCTCGAAGCAGGCGAACTTGAAAGGGATGCCAAATCAAACATGAGCAATCCATTTGTCATGGCTACCGATGTCCCGCTGCATCTGTGTCAAATACAATGCATCGAAAGATTGTGTAAGCAATATTTTGGAGAGCGTGAGAGGTGTATGCATGATTTCAAGATGGAATGCTAGTGAAGTCTATGCTGAAGCGATCATAGCGGCTTTTTTAATCATTTGCAGTATTTCAAGCATGCCAGATTGCTAGTCTTCATGCATGAGCCTCCTTTTTTTGCACCTCTAGATACCTCTGTACGAGCTTTTTAAACCACATTCAATTTTGAGGGCCTTTAGGATGCCCATGCCTTCAGCGGCAGTGGATTTCGTGAGTTGGTGCGTACCTTCAGGTTATTCGAAGCAACTATCTCAACTCAGCGCTCTGCACAACTGGACCAGCCTGCTCAAATCGATTTAGTCTTGCCTTGGGAATACTGAATGACTCTCTGCTGCCACAGCAATAACTTAGACAGCTCTTAGGGCCTTCCTGCTAACGTTCATCTGCGGATATTCAAGACACTCCAGAAATCCTTAATTTCATGCATGTGCTCACGCTGTAGGCAGATTGCCGAATTTTGGTAGTTGTTGGCTTGAGGTTGGCGCTCTTTCTTGCAAGCTGCCGCGTGCATATGGGAGAGGGCGCTCAAGGCGACGAGTGAGTTTGAGACAGTGGCGAGGTGAATTGCTAGCCCCCTTGTCTACTGATCACTGGACCCTTGTGGAACTCATACGATCAGCAAAAAAAGCGTCGATGAGCATTTCCCCTGAGCATAACAGGGTTTAGCACTGTTTCCGCATTGACATAAAGCCCAATATTCGCGTGGTGTTTCA